TTTTTTTTTTTTTTTTTTTTTTTTTTTTTTTTTTTTTTTTTTTTTTTTTTTTTGGTCATGTTAAAAAGTGAGTAGCGTGTACGCAGCACTGGGCTGAGCGTGCCTCCGGGCCCTGGAGTTCAGCGCAGCCCCGGGGCACCTGCCCCGGTGTGGGGAAAGGCAGCGCGGGCGGCCCTTGTCCACGGAGAGTGGAAGGGGAGGGGGTGGATATTCACAGACTAATCAAGAGGACCCCTTGTAACCAAAGGAAATAAGGTAAGATTGCAATTTGCCCTCACTTTGCAGTAGCTTTTAAGCAGCGACATTCAGAGGCGTTAGGGGGTCACTCCCCAGGTTGCAGGTCACGGGGTGCTATAGGCCAGAGTTCAGTGTTAATCAAAGGAGAGAGGGCAGACTTGGCAACTCTGTAGGGTTTGGAGAAAGTTAAAGCAAGTTACTCAGTTACGAGTTAGAAATGAGGTATACGACAGCTCCTGTACCTGTGGCGGATAAACACCCCACACCTACTCACACCTAGCCTTAGATACTACCACAGAGGAAGGAAATGGAACAACAGCACTGGCAGGGACAAAGAAGCTACTACCCGGGTCCTTCCCACAGAGCGCTGGCACGCAAGGCGCCCCACGGGGACCAGCGCGGCTCCACGCCTCTTCAAACCACCCGCGGGCGGCTCGCCAGCGATCCTGATCCCTTCCCCGTTTCACAGGGAGGCCCAGTCCAGCTCCCCGGGAACTCACAGGCAGCGGCGCCAATCTCCACGTCTTTCACATCACGTTTTCCCCTCGGACTCGCTTGGGTGCAGGGAGCACCTGGGTCACAGAGGCCACCACATGGAGAGTGAACAGGGGAAGAACTAAAGGTTTTGTCTCAACTGCCTTGTTCTCAGGACACTGTCACGGGTGCTCTTGTTTTGAAACTGTTTCTCAAGGGGGTTGTGTGATCTCCACGATTCGCCCCTTGGCATGCCATTTCCAATGTCTTGGGATTCCTTCTGTTTAAGAATTTCATATTTCTATAGCACCGCAACATGCCAGCTTTGTCCGCACACAACGTTGTCACATTCAGGGAATAGGGCTTAAGTAGTTGCTAATACAAAATTCAGCAAAGGCAGTATGAATCCTGAAGTGGGGCCTACAACAGGTGAGAGAATTTGGGGAGGAAAGGGGAAGCTAGCGTGATAAATTAAGTATCTTATGGTTGTATGTAAAGCTCTGCCGGAGAATATTCACCAGCAGACCGACACAGTTTTAAGACAGATCAGCGTTTTGGTCTGAGCTACTTGACAATGTCCTGTTTGGTAGAGAGATGAAATAAGGCAGAGGGGGTATGTTCCAGTTCTGGGACTGAGCCTCAGCAGCACTAAGGAACGCCAAAGGGTATCGTCTTCCCTCGCCTCCCACAAGCTGTTTCATTTCCTTCCTCAGATTTGTTTTCCTTAAAGCACACCTTGTTTTCCACTTCTTTTGTTCCAAGTGCTCTTTTCTTTGAGAAGTCATTTCTTCAATATCCCTATTACCTATCTATAAATCTAACTAGCTCTTTGAAAAGTCACACAATATTAATACCACTTTTACATAATGTCAGAACAACAATTCTATTAGTAAAGCTTTCAGTGAAGTTCTGCAACCCGATTGGTGTCCAGAGGAAGAGTAGCTGGACAACCCACCTCTCCCCCTTCCTTCCTCCCTCCCTCCCCTCCCTTTCTTCACAAGAGCTCACCAAGTTCACCGATAAAACAACTCAGCCCAATAGCACGATACATGAACATGTACAAGGCTACTTTGGGGAGCAAAGAAAGGAGTCTTCAAGGTCCCTCCCTTAAGAGAAAGACCATACGCAAATGCTGTTGAACAGACTCTGACCTTGGACTACACTGCTTCCACATTCAAAGGAAAGAAACAGTTTTCCCTGACTGTATCCCAACATCAGCCTAAGACCTGCAGCACTGGGCAAGCCCCACACGCCGTTTGCCTTCACAGAGCCAAAGCGACTCTACGCAGAAAAGGCGGAAGCACCCACAAGAGACGAGGTCCTTACGGAAAGGGACACTGATCCAAAGCTCAACACTCCCCCCTCCCCCCTCCCCCCCCCTTTTCCTCTTACCCGCTCTGAGAACAGCAGAGCTGACAACGTATCAGTGCCTTTGGTTCCCTACGAGGCCACTGGGCGTTCTCCCACCCCAGTGGAGTCGAGCTCCTTTAGAAACCCACCTCTCCCGATCACCACACACAGCCAGGCGCACACGCTTGCGCACACACGCACTCGCACACAGCCCCACGCACCCCCCTCCCCTCTTCCCCCGCGCCATCAGCCTTGAAGGGAGATGAGGAGGGCGCCTTGGGGTCCAGACGGAGGGGGCTGCAGCCCCCTCCCAAGGCAGTAACCACTCACTCTTCTGCTGCTCCCACCGCAACACCAAGACATATGCCAGGAGAACGACCCACTCCCTCGCCAACAGCCCCTCAAAGCTCCTCTCCCATGACTGTCTCACAGTATTTCCACCCTTTCAGGCATACCACCCAGGTGTTAGGAGTAGGTTAGCTTTCACTTCTCAGTTTGGTTTTTTCTTTCATAGTTTTTGGTCTAGACAGGATTAGCATTGCTATTAGAAAAGGAAGTGTTTAAAAAGTTTTCCACCTATTATCAAGCACTACAAGCCCTACATTCAGTAACAAGACAAGGGGGATAAAAGGAACCTGTTTCACTTTTGCTCTCCCAGATAAATTAAGATGCGACAACCATTCTTCTCCCTCCCCGAAGTTAAACACAACGGACCCAGTTCAGCTCTGGAGCAACTCAACTAACTGAAAAGGATTTACACCACCTAGGCTGATTCTAACCCAGTACAGCCATCTTCTTTCCCCTGAGCCTCCTGGATACACGTTGCCTCATCTTTAGATCCCAGCAAAGGGCAAGGAAAGGCCAAGAGGGAGGGAAGTGTGCGCACACTTGAAAGGACCCTGAACAGCAACCCAATCAGTAACCTGCATGCCACCACGTGCTGTGCTGCAGATTAGACCACAGATAAACCAACCAAACAACAATCCCAAACCCAGGAGCGACAAAATGTTTCCTTTGGCAAGACAGATACAAGGAAAAAAATTCATGAGCAAACATTTTCCTTCTAACACAGTCAACCCCCTTCTCTGCCCCCAACATCCACCCACCCCCACCCGACCCTATAAAGTTGTAACCTATAAACAGGATCTCAAATACATACAGCATAATCATGTTTATCAATCATAATAAACATCAGTTCAACTAAACTCTACAGCTAGAATTATCTCCACTATTTATAAAGTTTGCTTTTCTCTTCTGATTTTTTCAGTTTAAAACCAGTTCTGCGACAATGCTAAGCTATGCTGAGGTATTTTATGAAGGTGCCAGAAGCCAGCTGCTACCCACAAGTATTGTTCTCAGAGCTGTATGGTGCTACCTTTCGCCAACGGAAGACGGGGGAAGGAACAAGGGGGGAGAGGGAAAGAGGGAGGGAAGGGGCCCAGATTATTCCAGTTACGGACGGTTCTTAGCAGGGTATCGCAGAATACGTTCTACATACTGACCGTATTGTCTACTCAGCTAGAAGGTGTCTTTTCTCTTCTCCCGCAGTTAAACTATTCGTAATTCCAGTGCAATCTTCCTAACACCCTTCTAACAGCATCCCACGGGGCTAAAAGCTCAGAGCATGTACCCATTAAGAGTGTCCTGGGAGAAGTGGCAGCAGATTCAGTGAAGACAGATGAGCTGAAAGAAAAAATCAAGTTCTTTTTCACACATTATTCTGTGTGTTTGTCTGTGAAGCTATGCAAGTACAGGAATCGCTTCTTTTCATCCTTCCAAAAGCACTGAAAATACTTGCGCTGACATACAGGGAACCTGGTACCATTCAGATCATGAAGCCAAAGATCTGAACATTTTCAGAAATTGCAAACTGTGAGTCAATAACTTTACGAAAAAGCCTCCTCTGTCAAAAATCTCTGATGTATTTTAGCGGTCTTCCAATTAGAAAGAAGAGAAAGACTCACAAGCAGCAACAGGAGCAAGATTTAATGACTGACAAGGGTAGAACCTCTGAAAAGTACGTATCTTGAATTCTGTATTGCTATAGTATTTTGGAAAGGCAGGGAGAAATAAGAGGTATTGGTTGCAAAAATATAAAGGAACTTGAGTTGGCTGTGTAAGGACTGACAACCATAAACCCAGTGGGGGGCAGCAGGCTAGCTTACTCCTTTGGTAACACTCCACTCTAGGCAACAGTCAGGTGTACATCGAAAAGGTATAAGCAGGCCCTGTGGATAAACATCATTTAACCATTTCAGGCAGAATAGGAATAGGGAATAGTTGCTCTTAATAAAGAGGCAACAAACAAACCTACATTTTAAACTTCTGGTTTAAAACCAAGCCTCATTGAAAGTTTGGACCAGGTGCACTATTCCACCTGTCCCAAAACACTCTTAATGACCATGAGAAATTACTTGTCTGTCTGAAATGATTTTGTAAAATGAATTTTTATTTAAGAAAATATTGATATTTAATGTGAGTTATATGATGTTTTGGTTTAGTATTTTGTGGTATGGTTCCAGCTGCAACAGGTGTTCTGCTCCATTTGTAACAAAGAAAGAGGGAATTGTGTTTTAAAGAATGCTGCTCTACAAGGCCATGCACAGAGTTGAGGAATTAACACTGTTGTCTCCTTCAGTAACTCAACTGCAGAAAGGTGTGCCGAACCAAAGCACACTGCAAGGCTTACAGAGGTGACATTTAAACATTACAACAAACCAAAATATTGGGTTATAGTTCCAAAAGGAGTAAAAAAAAAAAAAATTCCTATTACTCACACAATCGTTGGCATGGATGCACACAGAGAATTTTCGCAAACATGCTTTGGTATCAGCCATTCCCTTATTGCCCCCTGAGCAAAACTGGTTATTCTTATGATTTTTTTTTTTTAATACATTAATTATCCTAAAAAATTTTTGCAAGACAGCAAAAGATCAGAAGTATAAAATTTTTGTCTACAGTTAATGCTCACTGTAAAGTATGAAAAATAAAAAGAAGAAAAGGGGTGAAAGTAGAGGCAGTGGATTGCTCTTGCTCAAATGAAAAGCTATCATACTATGACAGAACATTTGTTCCCATGTGTTAAGATCAGCAGATCACTTCTTCACCCAGTGTTGGCATCCCCCTGATTAACCTACATGGTGCAAAAATCACAAGCTGTAACTTCAAATACATCAGGAGCTATACTGTTTCCACTGAAAAATCTGTCAGCCTGTTCCTTGAAAGATAGAATTCAAACTTGAAGCTTCTGATGTCCTAAAAGGTCTATAATTTGAGCCATCAGAATATGTGTCTTCCTCTTAATACTCTGGCGTTCTATTTTTCTCATACAAGATAACCTCACTAGCACTCAAACAAAATCACTGAGCAACAGCAGCAGCACATTCCTACATGAAGATCCAACTAACTTTCAAGTATGCTCCCCTTGCTGGTTCAGCCGAGCGCAGCTTTCCCTTTCATGGTAAAGTGACTTTTTGAATCCAATTTAACTTGTGTCTCAACAAGTATTTGCTGAAGCAGAGGATCTTAAGAAGTATCGGAACAATGATGTGTCATCACAAGTTACTCAAAGAAAAACAAAAAACTGAAGTGACACTAACACATGAGCTGGAAAAAAATTTTTTTCTCTTAAAAAACAGGTACTTGTGCATGCAACAAGCATGGTATCTCCCCAACAATGTGTTGAATGCACACACACACGCACCATCTCAGAGTGACATGATAAAAATGTACTTAAGACTAACACACTGCACAGTAACTCAGAAGCAAATAAATCCTCTTAAAGAGACTTAAATAGACAGATGTGACTCTTGCAAGCAGCTGTATCTGTGTGTACTTTCTATGAGCTGTTCATGAATCATTCTATGGTGACTACAGAGAGTGTGTTCTGAGGAGATCAAGTGTGCTAAAGCCGAACTGGAATACATTTTCTTAACATCAGAACACATTTCAGCACCAGCCTACAACAACTCATCCTGAAGCCATTTCCTAAATTGTTCTTGACCTTCAGGGCACATCTGTATTTGTGTCTCTCTGAATCTCTTGCTTTTTGAGCTAACTGTCCTTGGCTATAATGAGAGAGTTTTTCACCTATTTTCCTGCATATGTACTTTGGCATGCTTACAACTATGAAAAGCAACCCGTACATCTTTAAATGTGAAGACATGGAGCTCTGAAAAAGATGCTATTATCCTTTTCTAACATGCTATGAAATTCCTTCTGATCGTATTTACTAGGTCTGTATACAATTGTTATTGTCTCTTTTCAGATGCATCAATTTCTGCTGTCAGTATGATTACAATTTTAAAAAGAAACTTCTGCTAAACTCTAGTACATGATCTCATATTCCTTTCACGCTCTGAAGAAGCGTATGCGCTCGAACTAGGCAGATGTATACCCACTGCCAATCTGATTTCCTTCTTTCACCTAAACACTGGAGGTAGCCAGAATCCATGAGACAAAACACTGCCGGGGATGAAAAGCAGGCTTCAGGAGTGACAGTAAAGTCATTGGGGTCTTTTAGGACAATGAATCAGAGCACACTAGTGATGGACTCCATGGGATATGTGCTGTTTGGGTATTATGTCACCTTCCAAAAGCAAAACCAAGCCCTTTCTGGATATGTGGCAACTCTGAGTTTCCAGTTTCTCTCAGAAAAAGACTTGCTAAGAAATTCCCTGGAATCTGGGCCCCAAAGAGGGTGATACGGTAAAGAGGAGGAAGGTAAGGGGGTATAAGGTGCTCACACCAAAGCCATGTGACCAATGCAAAGGTAGTCAGGAAAAAAAGCAGATTTTTATAATAAATAAACCATCCAAGCTGCATTAGTGTTCCAGATATGTACTCAATAAAACCCTCTCCCAACCACAAACCAGCAAGAATGGGACATGAAAACTCATTCAGACAGCTAATGGCACAGTCTCTTTGAACTGTGGATAGAGGATTTTCCGGTGATTTAAGGCCCACCTTTCTTTGTGTTTCCTAGATATATGCAAGGATCATGCCCCCCCACCCCACCACAAAACCCTTCGGGAGTAGAGGATACATTGGAAAAAAGACCAGTAGTATCCACCCCCGACCTTTAACAAAAAAAGCTTCCTGATAAATCGTATTTTTGCACAGGCGTGAAAGTAAGTGGGAACTTTCAGAGTCAGGATGAACTTTATAGTTGCAGTTTTCCCCATCCTCTTACTTCACCAAACACAAGTCTCAGGGACTTGCATTCCTTTGGTAGAAACTGTAGTCTGTGCTAGGGCCTCCAGACCAACATAGTGGGTACCAGCATCTCCTCTTCCACTTCTTCCCTACCTCCCTGAAGCTTACCCAGCTATACCTTTTACTGCTCTGAAGCTATTACTTATGGGCCGTTTCCGTTTCTGTAGTATTATTCATAGCCCTAAAAGTCTCCTGCACAGCCTGAAGTTGTAGAGACGCATCAAAAATACTTAGATTTATCCATACTGGTGGGATGAGTGTGGGACCTGTTGGATTAACAATCCCCTGACATTGCCATTCTATTTACACATCAAATAAAAGAAAACAAATTAAAATCAAGTTAAGAGTCTGCCCCAAGGATAACACAAATTACCAACCCAAAAAAAAATATTAAAAACAAGCAGCAACTTTTATATAAAATTAATAAAAACAAAAGACAAATGAAAAAGAAATTGTCAGTAGCATCTATCGCCTCTCTGCATCTGAACTGCACTTATACAAACTAGTCCATTAGTACAGCAGCTTGCTAAAAATTGACTTTGGTTCAAGCTTAGTTTTAAAAAAATAAAACATAAAAAAATCAAAAACACATTAGAAACGGTGGACGGACATTTGTTAGTTTCCCTGCTCGCAGTTCACTAGTTTTGAAGTTTTAGGGATAATCAGTTTAAATATTCAGTAAAATAGGAAGGTGGAGAGTTAGAGATGAACAGAGCAAAAAAACATGGCGGTGGGGGAGAGATAAGGGGTTCTGCCACTTGAGTGCAAACGCAAATCCCACGTGCTCAGGTCACAAACCAAAGCACATGTAGAGTTTAAAGTTGCTGCCTTCTGGATCTTGGATGAGAAGCTCCAGGATCCCCCTGAATCATCAACAAAATGAACATAGCTGCATCAGCTCATTATTTTAGGACACTCTGGTGACAAAAGAAAAGGGGGTGGGAGGGAAAGGGACTCTTCTAATACCCTTACTAGCTAAAAGTAATTCAGTTTTATACACATAGCAGAAACCTTTAAATCCATCAGGAATGGAAAGTTCAAAGTGAACTGCATTGCAGTGATCCAGTCTTCTCTTTTTAAAAATTTTTTTTTGGTTCAGATACTAGATTGTATATTTAAGAATATACAGATCTAACTTCTGTACAGTTCATTACTTTTCCTCATCCACATAAATATCCTTTGCTACATGGATCAGAATCAACTTTGAAAAGATAGTTATAGTGGCAGGCAAGCCCCGACGCTCTGGTCAGAGATGCTTATTGCCATTTTTACATAGCTAGCAGCATCACAGCTCAGAGGCTACGCGAGATCACCCAGGTATGTGCAAAGCCCCAGAGTTAGCTCTACTGTGTTGGCATAAACAATGGTAACTTCTGTTCTCATATCGTTGGCTTCTGTGTTTTGCAGCCAGAAGCACTTTTCTATTAGAAAGTTATTCTAAATACGTTGGAAACGTCAAAATTAAAGGAGTATTGCTATGAATAGGGAGAATGTGACCTTTTGAAATCCTGTATCAATTCACCTGGCAGGAATCTAGGATTGTAAATGCTGTTTTACATGCTGCCAATCAACTTGGGTAACTTGACATTTTAAAAATATTTGTATATGCTCTCAACAGCAAAATCAAATCAACAGAACAGAAGAGTCATTGGTTTGCCACACAGTCTAGACTCAGGAGGTCAAATCCCACTCTCTGAAGTAAAAAGGAACCATGCACACAAAGCTAAGAGCAGAATTTGGCCACTTTCTCTAAATAATTAAGAGAAGGAGAACTGTAGTTTGGAACTAATTGCTACCTCTGCTTAAAAAGCACAGACCAGCCGGGGAATTTGCACACAATGATCTCTACTGCTACACTGAGCTTCCTGCACAAATGATGAAGAGAAATTCTTCTGACCCCTACAAGTAACCATTAGACAAATTCAAGGATGAGGAAACCGTTCAGAACATTCCCAGAAGATTAGGACAGAAAGTCTATTTGTGCTCCATTCTTCCTCTCCACCCTCCCGCCCTCCCCCCATGGTGTGGGAGCTCGCTGAAAATAATCCAGGAGCAAAAGACAAACGCGTCCAAACTATATATATAAAAATAATAATAATAATAATCATAATAATAATAATAGAGATACACCAGTAATACAGGCCTGCCTAAATTGTACCAGTTAAGAAAGGAACCCCCAACACGATTGATACGATTATAAACACCTTGTATGACATAATGGCCTGTACAACAGACCTATAAAATGATAATTAAAAAAGAAAGATATTTAGACCAGAAAGAAACAAGAAATCCCCTTCCCATGTTTGAGTTGATAACCCACCTTAACTTGTCATTGTGACTGCTGGAAATGATAAGTAGTCCTTTCAATTTTTTTGTGGTTTTTTGTTTTTCTGTTTTTTGTTTTTTTTACATTTTTGGTTAGAAAGTTCTCCGATCCATGAAGCGATCCTGAAAAGACAGTGTTTATTATAAAATTAGGCAAATGTCTGTCCCAGCTTTAAATCCTTCCTGTTTTGCTTTTGTTTTTTCTATTTTTCCTTCTCTCCCTTGTCCCCAGCAACACGGTGAGAGGATGCCCATCACACTTTCAGTTTATAAACCCCGCTGGCAGCCAATCCCACCGCACAGTGAAACAGGCTGCTGGCAGCACAGCTCAGCCCGGCTCACTGTGCCTTGGAGGCAGTAGTGGTGGTGGACGTGGCCCCGCTCGCAGAGGCCACCGTGAGGAGAGAGTTCTGGATGGACTCGGCTGAGGTGGAGGTGGCGTGAAGGCTGGCGACTGGTCCAGAGGCCCCTGCGGAGGCTGCAGCTGCAGAGACCAAGCTAACCGGGTTGCTGGTGAGCAGAGAAAGGTTCTGAGGGTTCAGGAACAGAGGGGCAGTTACGATGTTAGGAGTACCTCCAGCATTGGCAAACACCAAGTTTCCAGTTGCATCCAGTGATGTTATTGGAAGAGAGCCACCAGATGCAAGAGCTAAAAAAAGGGAAAAATTGAGCAGGGAGGAGATAACATTAACAGTAAGCAATAATGCAAAATGTGCCTAAAAGCAACTGGTCGCTGTGTTTTCCTTTCTCTGATATGTGTGCTCTCTATACCACTAACAACAGTCATCTTGTCATAGGTTGTTTTTTTAAAAAAAAATAAATGAGTGGATGAGACCTTGCAGGTACTAAAATGCCTCTGCTCCTAAACAAATTCCATCATACCTTTCCTCAGATCTTTACATGCAATACTGGTCTATGTTTCCTGCCTCAGAAAACCTGTACATTCAGGCAACTTGTACTGGAAAGGGTTGAGATGAGTGTTCACATGAAATGACAGCTATCACAAGATGTAACCCCGAGTGTAACACTTGAAATGTTGACATATAACCACTGTTACAACTTACTTTCACCGGTCTGCAGGGTTCAGTCTGCCTTAGAATATGATCTCCTAAATTTATTTATCTGTGACACTTCATGAAATGGTACTTTCTTGTACCCTGGGAACAAGATTCGTTAAGCTAGTTTAGAGGATATTTGAATATGTGTTAGCTAGCTCTTTAGGCACTTGTACTATCTAGTTTTTACAGATGACAAACTGAACTGAGAACAATTCTTGCTAAAGTCAGTAGAAATTTCTAGCTGCATGGCACTTCCAACATAAATCTTTACTCCTCTGAATAAGGATTTATGGATTTCAAGTTCTACATAAGGACTTTAGGAGGTAGGCTGTTTGTTGTGGGTTCTTTTTAAATACATATGAAGACAAGAATTCATGATGAAGTCTTGCTTGAAACTGCCCTCCTAACAGACCTCAAAACAGCACAACTCTGCTCAAGCTTATGCTAGAAGAGCTATAAAAAGCAAATCTCTAACCTGCTGGAGCTACACACCAATGGGGAGAGGATAACAAAATAAATTCCAGATTCAGATATCACTCAATATCTTAAATGCCTCCTGTATATCACTACAAGATCATACACAGTTCTAATCCCTTTTCTGAAGCTGTACCTGCCCTTATCTCTGTGATACATAAAAAGTATTTGCACATTTAAATTTTGTAAAACCTTTACTCCCATAATGTTTATGTCCAGTGCTGAGGACTCCGTGTTCTTTTTTGGTAGAGAAAAACAAAGCACGTGAACTGAAGTTGTGTGACAGTGATGCATTAAAAGGAACACTACTGACCTTGAATAGTTGCCAGTGTACTGTTGCTCATCAGGGCTGGGCTGAGAGCACCACCTAATGTCCCTGGATTGAGGCTGAGTAAGGCACCTCTGCAGGAAGCAAGATCGTGGAAGAAACAAAAACAAAGGGAAGGAGTATTACTTTTAAGAAAAGGTTGTCACTGTTCAGAAGTACACCATCATATTTAAAATTAAAAATAAGGGGGAGGTGGGGGGCAGGGAGGGAGGAAAGACCAGAGACTAAGGGCTAAATTTTAGTTTATTTTAGCTTCTCCTTCATGACGCCTTGAGTAGAGGTTGCGTTTCAGTTGTGTGGTTAGCAACATGCCTGAAGCACAGGCACTGTAAATACATGACTTGTACTGATTGTTGCTGTAAAAAAATTCTTGTATTTTGGGGAAACTGTCACTTGTTAGAGAGCTATCATCATCTCCCAATTTCAGATACGAAAGATGTAAATCAAGAGGAACTGCAGAAACAAAGACTCATCTCTCAGAGCAACATTTTTTAAAAATAAAGCTTCAACAATACATCATCATGCATCTTTAACAGCTTCTTGCTTGTGATGGAGAAATGAATACAGGTGTGGGGTGGGTCCAGGTTAGCTCTCCATTTTACAATTAGAAGAACTGAGTCTATGATTCAATGGTAAATTGCAGCTCTTAAGCTCTGCAGTGGGATGGATGACATCAAATAACAACATTATTGCAAGATAGCTTTTTAATATGTAAAATGAAAACAGTATTTGTGTATATTGATGGGAATCGCCAATTACCATCTGTAAGTAAACCTTCAGAATATGAGATAAATGACACTAGAATCACCAAGTGAACTACCAGAAAACAGTGATACATAAAAGCAATTTACCCCAAGAATTCTCCTTCCCTTTTCTGTCATCTCACCTAAAAGGCTGTGAAAAATTCATCCTTACCCAGCTGCAAACTGCGAGGATGCCATCAAGCCTGGGTTTAGTCCTGCTGCAGCAGCCATGGCAGCAAGACTTGCATTTGCAGGCAACTGTGCAGCTCCTTGTAATGCGGCTGCTGCCGCTGTTTGCAACCCTGATGCCGTTACCATCACCTGGCTGGTCCCAAGAGGGGAGGACAAGGGAGTGGAGGTTGTCTGTGTTGTGCTGGTCTCACTGGCACTGGATGCCTCTGAAATGGAGGCTGAGGCAGAAGGAGAAGGACTCAGGGAGGGTGATGTCACTGCTGAAGAAGCTGGAGGTGCTGTTGAAATCACTGTTGCCGTGTTGTTGGAGGTGGTTTCTGTTGTGCCTAGAAGATTGATTCTGGTTAGATCAGTACAAAACACAGATATGACTGAACAGAAACCACCACCCACCTGAACTGAACTGCACATCTAACAGAGACAAACACACATTTCTGGAGGACCAAGAAGCACCAAGAGTCCAAATAAGCAGCTCAGACTACAAGGAAATGATAGTTCTCAACAGGAGGCTGAGGAGCTCCAGAAGCTAACAACGGAATAGAGTATATTTCATTTCAGCATCACCTGTGATTTTAACCCCAGAAAAGTCAACTGAACAGTCACAAATACTGAAGTTGCCTGGTGGAGTAACAAGGAACAGCGACAAGGAAGTCCTGGGATACCAGTGATCAATACAATACTGAATGACCTTCTGAAGAGTTTAGAAGGGGAAAATGGTAGGGGTTAATGTGGGGAAAAGACAAATCTGCCCTTACCTGTGACTGACAGACTAGTTACAGCAGGACTGGTCAGAGGGAGCACAGGATTGACAGTCAGGGTTGTAGCTGCACTGCTAGTCACAAGGCTTGGCGTGGTTGCCACCTGGAGGTCAAAAAATGAATACAACTGCTCAACTGTTAAAAAACAAAAAGTTGGCTAGTAGACTTTGATTTCTTTCTTCTCATCCTCAGCTGAAGAAGTACCAGGGAAAACACGCATATAAGCTAGCTTTTTTGTAACTCCATTACTTTATCATTCAGTGGACCAATCATAGTACCTTCTCTAACTACCAGCAGTATCTTTACTCTTTATCATTAATTATTTGAAGGGAGGTAATATCCATTACATCCACACTGTCTCAGGACTGCAAGTTAGCCCTCCCACTCTGTCTCCCCCAAAGACCACACCTTTAATAGAGTTACTCTTCCAGAAAGAGTTACAAAATATATTTCTGCATGGGATTTTTTTTCTTGTTTAAACATCTTTTCAGCTCCAAATCTCCTTATCTGATAAAATTATTTAAACACACCAGCATCACCAAAGGTTTTTAGGGTAACGTTTCCATAGATAAAGAGAGTAACATTTTGCTTTTACTCAACCAAAATATAAGCTCTACTTTGATAAGTTTCCTTGTGCCAGAGGAAGGATCTCCGAATTTTAAAACACTCAAATGGCATTGGCTAATTTTACTTGTGGACAGCTAATTACAAGAATGCTACAATACACTGAAGACATTACAGATAAAAAAAACACCAAAGATTTAAGCCTGAAGGAACTAGCTTATGAGAAAAAATGAAATATAAGGAGAAAAAGGACATTTATGGACAAGAAATGGTGTCCAACAGTAGTATTTGAAGGCTGTTATACATCAATGAGAGAAATGAATCCTTTAAAATTGCCCAAGAGAACATAGCCACGGATACAGGCTAAAACCTTCCTCCTTTCCCCTTTCTTACCTTAAAGTTTATTATCAGAGAAATCTCTCTCATGCTGCATATCCTTTTATAGGAAGTCAAATGCTTCATGCATTTTAAACAAGACTGGGGCAACTGGGACAGATCTAAAAGCTTTCTGCCCATCTCAAATAGCGTACGAAATAAAGAAGAGCTAGATACATAGTACGCTTCCCACTAATGCAGCCCAGACATGGTATCCATCACGTGTCCACTGAACAGTTAAAGGCCAAGGTCACAATCCATATTTAAGGACAGTGAATGACCTAGAATACATACAGCTAACCTTATGGTTACAATCACTGACTTGAGCCAATGCAAAACTAGGCTGCCACCAAAAAGAGCATTCCTCTCCAATTCTGCCTCAGAGCCCTAGCACTTGTGCAGACAGGCTGTAAGTCCGATTGGTTATCTGGCCCTACTGAAAATTCATCATTCTTCTTCACATAGTTAATTTGCAGTCAAACTAGTAACAAAGCCCAATCATCCTACAGACACAATCTCCAGAGCTGACACAAGGAACCAACAAAGCACATAGCCAGTGAAGGCTGGGGGGCAGCAGGCCTGGAACAGCTATTTGAGTGGTAGCACAGTCTTAAGAACGGCTTACAATGAGTGAAAATGCTTAGTGAAACATCACTGAAAAAATGCAGACTGTGGTTAACACCTCAATTTCTTACATACAATGGCAGTTTATAATAAAATGGAAACTTATGTAGGAAAGGTTTCTTAAGTTACAGTCTAAACTTGCATGGTTACTAAAACACACTATCACCAACCTCACTATGTTCTGCTTTGGTAGCAAGACATGCAACCTTGCTTTCCAACTGGGGGGAAAAAAAAGTAGAAAAACTTTAAAAAGACTAAGTACATTTAACACATCCCTTCCCCTGAAACAAAAGGCTGCATGCACACATCCTGAAACAAGGATGGGGGAAAAGAATGACACATCACCAAAATCAATGGTTTAATGAAGTACTGGAAAATATTAGCTACTACAGTGATGAGGGTGGAATAAATACTACAAAAGGACAGCTACAGGCTACATAAATTCCACCACATTCCTATTAGCATAGCTACTATGAAATCTAATAGCTACTGTTTCTATTTATGAAAACAGACCTCCATGGACATTGGTAGCAAAGGAGCTGAAGGAACCTTGATGCATGTGTTTTGTTACTCTTATTTTCATGAAGTTTGTGTTTACCTGAGGCAAATACAAGTGTGGGAAATTAATTACATGAGTATTAGCTAAATTGTTCCTTTGTTCCACGTCTTTTTTTTATATAAATCATTCCTAAGTGCCAACAACAGTGTCACTGGGTTTGTGAGACTTAAGTCTCAAAATGATACATTTTACTAGTAGCTACACATCTACTTATCAGAGCAGCCAGAAGAAGAGGGGAGGAGTAGAGCTGTTAAGCATTTTTTTATTACTATTATTTTACAAAAAAAGTCCAGATATGAACTGGAGTTACTATCTGGCATATGTTCAAAGCAACAGCCCCAACTGCGATTTTGCTAGTCAGAATATTTACTCACCAGCTGACTAAATAAAACACACAAACTGGAGGCCCAACTACTGCCTGACTTATAAGCATTATCTCTCTTAGACAGTATGCAAGTAGGATATTTAAAATGCCAGTAAAAGATAACTTTGTGAGAACAAGTCTGCTGTACAAACAAGGTGTAGCATGTGCAACTTCCACAGTTGCTCTATCTCTTCCAGTCATCTTTGTAAACACAGTTGCTTGATTCTTACCAGTGAGGTTGGGCAAGGGAAAATTGCTTTGATGGGCGAGCTGCTGGTTCCACCACTGCTGGGTGGGTTGATCCTTTTCTCCTTCTGGCGCCGGTTACAGAACCAAACGCGGATCACCTCCTTCTCCATGTTTAGCTGGTCAGCTATCATGGTGATCTCATCCGAGGTAGGCTTTTGGTTCTGAGAAAAGGAAACAGTACTTGAAAAGCTGTGAAACTACCTTCTGAAGTTTTATATTATAGCTGTTTCTTCACTAGGCAGAAATCTAGATATGCCATTTATATCCAGAATCTGGCCAGCGGTACAGTAGAGACAGACCGTAAGTACTTCTGCCCTCCATCTTCCTAGTTACAGGAACATTTCTACCAAAAGCAAGCTGTGTTCCTCAGAGATGGGTGATGAAGACTAAGCTCATGTGCTTCTTTCTGAGAGAAGGGATCTGACTTGTGAGCTAATCCTTCAAGGAAATCTACACTGTGATAAGGAAATATTTTGTTCAGCATCTCTCAAAAAGGAATAGGAGAGATTAACCATAGCAACAGCCAAATGAACCACATGTTGTCTAGACCTATAATGAAAGACAGGTAGATTGAACATAGGCTATCTGCCCATACAGCTGCACAAAGTGCCTAACAAGAGTAACATAAGGCCAGCTAAAAAACTCACATTATGTATGTTCAGACTGTCACCACACTTATCCATCCTCAGAAAGGGTAATCTTTTTCTCTTCTTTCTGATGTGCAGAATATTAGATCTATGGCTCAGTATCTTGGAATGCGAAATCACAAAGTCAGTGAACTGCAAGAACCAATGAGGTTTTTTGAGGGGTTTTGAGTGTGTTTGGTTGGGGTTTTTTTAAAGTGAAGTAGATGTTGATACATGCTTCTTGGCACAGCCTTTGTATTCACCTCGTTTAGTACAAACATTTTCCTAAATAGCACAATAATGGGTTCACTATAACAAATACAATTGTTAAGCAAAGCTCCTTCATTTCTTTACAGGCTGAGCAGAGCAACAGAATCACTGACCTCCAGGAAACTCTTCTCTAAGGCCACACGTATGTTGGTCTCTATGCTGGTGCGTTTCTTCCTCCTACGGTTCAAGCCTTCGACCCCCAGCCCTGGAGAATTCAGGGCACTTGGGCTGGAGAGAGCTGAATCAGGTGAGTAGTTTTCTGAAAAAAGAAAGTAACATAAATCAGGAGATTTTATTTGAATGCAGTGCAATCTAATGCAAGGTCTGGTAAGACCCACTCTGCATCTACTCCAGATACATAGAGATTTCTGGAGATCACATGCATTAATCATTGTACTTGTAAATTACAACATATACTTGAAACTTACAAGCTATAAGTAAGCCCAGAGGGCACTCTGCTCCTGTATGCTACTGCAGTATCCCTTTTATAATACCTATACGAAGTTTGTCTCCCTTATATCGTTCCACCCTGCACTCATTCACTGCAAGTCAGTTTAAAGAAAAAAAGCAGTAACTGATATTCATGAGCCACAGCTGTAAGTCACATGCAATTACAAAAAAATCTGAGCATTCTGAAATTTCTTTTACCCATTCTGCAATATACTCGAGCAAGAGGAAGTTCATAGCCAGCTTCACGGTGTCCAATCTGTTCTCCCTGAAGATCTTAGCAGATACTCAGTGCTATGCAGTTCTACCAAACAGCCTACGCAGCTAGCAGCTCCTCCTCCTTAGCTTCACTAAGTCTCTAGCTGTCAACCCCTAAGCCTGCCTTTTTGGCTCTACAGAAGAGCAAAGAGAGAACACGTGCAAAATAACCAACAGGCAGGTGCCAGCAGGAAATTTAAACAAAATGATTAATTGCAGCTGGAGATCCCTCATTGCACTGGAGTTTGTGGGTGATAAGCAGGTGCCAAAGTTCATAATGCTGAAGATCATTCTGGTGGGCTCAGATGAGCAAGTACATTCAGTCCATTATTTTACTTTTTTTTTTTTTTTTCAGTAATGGGTCCCATAAATGTGCCCCCTCTCCATCCTGAAAACCCCCTGGAATAAGCTGAGTCCTGCAACAAAAATTCTCCAACACTCCAACTTAATGTAATGGAAGGGATCATTGGTATGCTTGCCCTGCCTGGCTCTACGTAAAAGTAGCCTTTAAAGTAATCAGAATCTTTCTTCCAAAGATTTTCATGAAACTGAATGAGAGCCAAAGAACGGTTCCCAACTTCCAGGATGTGAAGAATCCTGACACAGTTTACAGTCCTTAACAGATCCAAGTATTTATTCAGGCTAGCAGGGAAAGCAAACTATGACAAACTATGGACTCATCCAGTATTGCTGGAAGGTCTGTGGACCACTGGCCTATGGACTAGAGCACTCAGTGTGAAGATCTTTTATGTTTTTTACAACAGATCTAGATTACCTAAAGATAACCCTTGTCAGCACAACAGAATGACATTTCCATGTTTCAATGCAGGACAAATTTTCAATGCTGCATCCAATTACTTTCAAAATTTTAGAGAATGCTGTAGGCGCCAGCATAAAGCTCTCTTCATTTTGGTAAAAATAGGAAGGCACACACCGTCCCTGCCATCTGTTTAGCAGATCCATCAGTTTTATACTATATGCAATTGTATACTTGGAAGAAAAAGCTGGCTGACAGCACTCTTAAACACTTTCCATTCTAACACCTAGCACTACCATCCAAACTCATTTTGCTTGTGGAAAAAAAGAAAGAAAACAAGAAAAGACCACCAACATTGGCATCATGAATAACTTATGCCCCAGGAAAAAATAATTCTGGATGGAAAAAGCAAAACCTAACCCACAAAAAATTCTTCCTATGGGGAGAAAGAGTGTTTATACAGACCCTTGGAAAGCAAAGAAAAGAATGCACACGGGGGTGTGGGAGGAGATGAATGCAATAAGCTCTGCCTACTGAAACAACAAAACCATGCAACCCACTCACTATTACACATCTGAAAAAAGAAAGCTAGAAGAGGATTAGAAGTTATATGCATTAACGTACATGAAGGAGGAAAACCATGAGACATATTACACTTCACCCCATGCAATTATTCAGCTGGCTGCAGAACACAATTCTGAAAGTTCACATTAGAATGATTTCTGATGTGTATAGACACATGAAAAGGCAAGTATGGACCCTTTTCATACACCCATGGACAGTTACAAAGATTGTTGGCTTCATAAAACCGTAAGGGCATAAATGAAGCAGTTTTTCAGGGTTTTTCAGAATCCTACTGATTTTGGTAGGCTGGTGAAGAAATATACAGACTCATTCACCTGCATCATTGAGCCACTTTTCCAGAAGTGGCTTTAACTTGCACATGTTCTTAAAGCTGAGGTTCAAGGCTTCAAAGCGAGAGATGGTAGTTTGGCTGAAGTCATTTCCATAGAGTTTGCCCATAGCGAGCCCAACATCACCCTGGACAAAGAAAGAGAAAAAAGGGATTCACTAACATAGGCACTTCCAAAGCAAGGAATCCTGTTGCATTCTTGTGTCCTCTTAGTGACTCCACTGCTGCATGGAATTTCAGTTTCACAGAAACTGGCTCAGCCCTACCAAGTTTCATGCTAAAGCAAATAATCATGAAGAAATGTCAAACCTCAGTCAGTTTAACCATGTAACTCTTTCCAGGAAACCCCTGATGCTTTGTCTTCTTAGCATTATCACTGAGCAGAACATTCCACTGAATATTAACTTGTAATTTTTTTCTTAGTTCTTTAAGTAAATGCCAAGCTCTCTTTAGAAGCAGATTTAAGTATCTGTGTATTTCACAATGAAGAAAAGTTCAAATAAGCAGAAATGCAGTGAATTCATGTTCTCAAATTAGTAGAAAATACTCTTGAAAAGATGTCTACAAACATGTATCACATTTAAACAGATGTAAAATCAGTCTTATCTGAACTTTTAGTATTTTGTGAGGTTCAAAACAAACTTCTCCCCACAGATCCATATTTCAAAGAGGACAAGAAGTTGAACCATTTCAAATAATTATTAACTGTAGTCTTCACTACCATTACTCATCTGCCAAAAATCTATCCAGGAGATCTACAGACAGATGATCATCTCTTCGTATCTGTTATTGCTTTTCGAAACTCAGTTTTAGCTAGCTATCAGACATTCTGCTTACCCTTTTATACACACACACACACACAGACACATCTATGTAGTTTACACTTGGAAAGTCTTGTTTGAAAAGGAAAAAAACCCTCAATCTTTATTGTGGCCATTAAAAACATCATAATGTTTTCTTGTTTTGTTTTAAAGCTGGAAGGTCCTGCCCTTTGAAAAAAATGTAATTTTTAAAAAAATTATCCTATTTGGTCTAAAGTAGTTTAACTTAGATGCTTATTTTTTAACACAAAAAGTATGAACAGTCTAGAAGTAGAGATTGAAAAGCTTGAGCACAGTTAGTGGAGTTTAATTGCAAGTGAGTTAGTTGGGTTGTGCATAAAGCTTGCTTTCTTTTGTTTTAGGTCAGATCTGCAACCACAGCTTGATACAAGTATAGTAATAGCATGCAGAGTGGCCACATACAAGCGAGGAAGAAAACAACCTTTGGTAAGCTTAGTAAATTGTGCAGGTTGCATAAAGAAAAATAATTTCCTTCCTAGAAGAGGACCAGAACAATTGGTCTGTATGCCCTTCCATCGAGGAAACACATGGGAACTCACATTTATACGTCTACCCATATGCCAGGATTTCATGCATTTTAAAACTCATAAATCATTCCAAGAGAAGTAACATGGATGTTCTACTGGGTTTATAAAGAAGAAAACCTGGATATGTAAACCATTTTAGAGATAAGTTGATTTATATCTTGGCAGGAAAGAGTTATGAAATTTGCTCCAGTTTCCCAACTAAATTTAATTCTGGTATTTATGTTGTTCTTACTAACACTTGCCATCTGATTTAAAATGAATAGTTAACCATTTCCTTGTCAACAGCTTTCAATGCCAAAAGGTGGCAGCATTTCAGCTGTAGGTAAAGAAATTTACATATTGGGGTGGGTCACTGAGAAGATGGATGGAACAGAGAATAAAGGCACCATTTACACATCTGATCATTGGACCACTCTGTAGGTCCAATGAAGCTCCAGTACTGAACTGAAACGGATTATAAGGTACATCATTGTTGTGTGTACTGGTCTGATGGACTAGCAGAGGTAATACCTTCTACAGAATAAAAATAACGTTGGCTAAAATGTTTGCTCACATAGCTTGAATCTGTACCAAACAATCAGTCACATACCTGCAATGATGCTAAATGCAGTATGTGTCTCTATGTCAAACATGGAGGTATTTTTAAGGAAACAATTAACCAAAGGATTTAAATCCATCACCAACTTTTCAGGCTGGGGGAAGAGACAGAACTGCCAAAATTCAAACCTGTTATATTGTTCACAAGACAGAACGTAGTGTTTAGTTTGCAATGCAAACTAAATCTTACAATTTTTTTTGAAAGGCAGAGGTGCATGCGTCTGAAAAAGCTTACAGTACCACTGGAAATAAATTTCTTTTATCCTCTGGAAGGCAGTCTATTTATGCAACTGTATCAAACCAAAGTAATAGGGGTCTTAAATTATCATCCAATTACACAATTAGGTAGAAGTTACTAGAACTGCCTAATTATACACATACAAACTCAGAGTAGGTTAAGAATCATCACATGCAATTTCATTACTTTCTCAAGAGTTCCCTGTTTTAAGCTGAAAAGCAAATACTGAAACGTAAGCCTGAGCAGTTGTGTTCATTTTTGCTCACCATGAAAATTCCCAACAGAGTCAATAAAGAAGGGTTAACCCATAACTTAAAAAGTCCAGTTGAGCCTTTATAATCATCTCACAGCAGGGCAGATTAAACATAATAACTAAAGAGCTACATGAACTTCCTCAATCAGGCTATAGGGAAGCTATTCTATTTTCCTCTATTCTGTTCTGCTCTATTCTAGCTTTTGTGTGTGTCCATCACTTGCATTTCTGTGCCTCCCTCTAGTGGAAAGAAGGAAGGGAAGGAGGCACACACGCCAGCAAAATGCACTTAATTTTACTAAGAACATTCTGTTCTTGAGTTATAATTAAGATGCTGCCAAGAACTTTCATTATGAACCCTGATTTTTCAAACATTTAGACCTTTGCCAGAAAAATAAATCTGACTTCAGCACATACTTTCAGCTAGAGTAGATTTACTTATTCCACAGAGGGAACAAATCACATAGGTTGGATTGACTGCTCTGAGCTCAGGCTTTTAAATACCTACTTTGATTTTTGCATGCTATTTCTTCCAGCAAAAACACACCTATGCTTACCACAGACTCCTGCCAAAAATAATTGTTTACCTGGATGAATATGTTAATTTTGTGAGGAAAAAAGTGCATTTTGATATTAATAAGGACTCTTGGATCCAAGCAGCATTTCCCTTCAACAGAATAACCGAATATATAAATGCACTTTATACTTTTAATCGTACTCCTTGTTCAACCATTTTTACTATGTTCAACATTACTTTTCTTCTGCTCTATGGGTATTTCTGAGCTTTTAAGCAAAACAAAACAAACCACAACTCCAGTTCACCTCTGTAAGAAGAGAACTTCAAAGGTGACAGTCGTTTCAGGTTTTGTTTAGGAACCTTAGCAAAAGCACTAAATACAGAAATCATTGATGTTTAATAGGAAAATACACTTGAGAGATAAAAACCCTTTGACATCCAAAGCAACTCCACAGTTGTGATATACTTTTTAAACACACAGAGCAGTTAATTGTGCTGTATGATTTTTGGAACTTTGTACTTCTGAAGGCAGCTTTAAAGTGCTTTGTCCCATTCATTTTACATCGTATAGAATGAATAGTGCACATGCAATGACATCTGGAGCTAGTAAATGCATGTACCTGCTGGGAAAATGGCTATGCTTTAAAACCAACAGGGAAGTAAGATGGATGTATGGCTTTTTCTGTTATTTCTTAGAAATTCCCTACATAAAGGCCAGAGCATAACCCTATTTAAGAAGGTTCTCCTAGGAAAAGGTGGAATTGTAGTCTCCCTCTAGACTTGAAAGATGAGACCTCAGATTCCACACTGGCAGGCACTAAGGTACGTAGTCTCACCTGAGTGAATCCAAGTTTGATCCGTCTTTGTTTGAAAGTCTTGGCAAACTGCTCAAGCTCCTCAAGGTCACTGGGCTCCTCCAAGCTGGGAGTGTCAATTCGCTTTGGTGTTGACTGGCTCTGTGGAAGTGGCTGAATGGGGGTCGCTGCTATTGTGCGTGTTGGGGTTGCTGGCTATTAAGATAGAGAGCAAGGAAAAGATGACAATCAGACTTAAATAATAATCAGCAAGAATTAAATTCAAAAAAGATATGTGAGATTTCTGAGAGAAAGATCAACGAATTTGACATTTCCAGCAACCTGAAAGTTCCTTCAATTTATTTACATTCCTCTCAAGAACAAGCAATCACAATCCAGAAAACTGTATTAGTATGACAGCCTTTTAAAGACTGTCAGAACCAATTAAAGAAAAGAAAGAGATGTTCAATGCAGCAGATAACCAACAACCTTCACTTGCTACAGAAGCTGCTCAAAGAAAGGTTGAACACTCTTACTTGATACAGTTCTATTATTTATAGACAGCTTGGCATTCATCCCCTTTTAATAATTTTAAAATTGAATTTACAGCTTGTGTGAGGTGGCAGATTGTCATCAGCCCAAAAGTTTCAAGTCTCCTATTTAATCTTGGAACAGTGAGCACATACAGGTGCAGCAAACATGGCAAGTTTCCTCTGATGCCATCTCTTGTGACTGACTCAACTCTTGCAGCAAGAAAAAACTAGATCTACCTCTTAACTGTTCTGTTGATACTTGCAACAGTAATAATGAATGTACTGGTGATAACAGAAATTAAGCAAAGGCAACCTGTAGAAAATAATTTCTTTTAGGTCACATTTTTCTTCTGTATAAAAGGCTAATTTTCTAGGAAGTCCACACAAGATTCACTATTCCTGAATATTGGCAGACTAGAGCATTTGCTATGCAGCAATAATAAAAATCTGAAAAAAACCTGAGCATCATGGAAAATATTCTCAGGTGAACAAAATATATTAAAATCTGGTATTGCACAGTTCAGGTTTTATATGCAACAGTAACACTGGAAACACGTTTTCAGTGCGTAACTCTACCTTCTTACATGCCACAGATAAACTGAGATGCAGAGACAAACAGTTTACTCCAATTCAGTTCTATGCAGTTCAGCTGAGGCTCTTAAGTAAAGGTGACTTCATGCTTTTATGTCCTATGGCCAGTTCTGAAACTACAGATTCCTTCAGGGCAAGTAAGAACAGCCTCAAGTCTACACAATACTATGGTACTATGCAAAGTAGTACTGTATGCAAGTAGTACTCTATGCAAAGGTCCAGAAACAGCTGTCCTAAAAGAAATGGCCTACATATAGTTGAATCTTTACGTAGCTCCTTATGGTTTTTTTTCTTCTGGGTTAGTGCAGTATTTTGCAGTGCACAGCAGATGGTAGAGGGAGGTCAGGATCTGTAATTCCATTACTTGAGAAATAATGTGATCATGTATGATCTTTCTAGGCCTGCAGATATATATGTTACACTACAACAGTTTTTAATATTTTTTTTATTTATAGTGCATAATTACTGCAATATGACTTTTCTGACTTCATCCTCTTTATACAATTTATTTTCTCTCTGTACTTTTGATACATTTTTTAAATCCATGTATAATCTTTAGTAGGGAGTCATGCTGCTAACTGAGGTAAGAACTACAGAGACGAATTCCATTTTCCACATGGTGCATGAAAAATACTATAGGTAGTATAATAGAAAATGTAGTTTCTAAGGCTCTGACAGACTCAGGAATCTTATTACAGACTAAAAAATTCTTACAATTAACCAAGCTGGCAGGAAGATACTGTATGATTACATGGCCTTAGAGAAACAGCACGCAGTCACGTAACTAAACTGCACAGTAAAACCCAGAGTGAAGCAAAACTAAATTTGCAAGCACGTGCAACCTTAATATTGTTTTTCTTACAGTCTAAAAGCTTAATCATAGTGCTTTAATATTTTAAGATATATCTAACAGAATATTATGCATTTCTAACAATCTCTTTGCTTTCACAGAAAGTAACTAGTAAGACTGGCAATGAGGTAGCAATAATAGCAAAACAACTAGGCTACAATAAATACAGATTACCACTGCAATCTTTTTCTAAAGATACTTGTCAGTAATCCTCTTTTTGAACTTTTTAGATAGCCCACATCTTGCTCCTCTGAATTTCACAAATCTGCAGATTGTCCAAGAAAGCCTTACAAGAAATCAAATGACCAATCATGGAAATTTTCAGCTAAAAATAAAAATTTAGAACATTAAATGCATTAAAAGAGGCACATTAGGGTGGAAACTACAAAAATGACGTTACTGATACTTCAGCTCTACACTGAATCTATCTAGAAAGACAAACTCACTGTTGCAGCTACAATACCTACTCTAGGAACTAATATAAACAGCCCATTCACTTGCAACAGTTTAAATTCTCTCAAAGCAACTCATGAACTCTAGAAATAAACCTGACCTGCGAGGCAAGGGTGATGCTTGGCTGAGACTGCAGGAGGTTGGCTTGGCTTTGCTGAGGTAGTTGCGTTAAGAGATTCTGCGCTTGCAGGAGACCTGGAGAGAGAAATGGGTGGATTTGGTTTACCATTTAAAAAGCCTAAAACATTAAATGAAATGAAATAAGGTTCTTGCCAAATAAGGAAAGCTACAGGCAAACTGAGATGCAAGCCTTCATTTCACCCCTGTACAGGTATCTTCAGACTTTGGACTTTTCATTCCACAATGAACTTGCATTTTCCTGAAGTTTATGTGGTGACAGAAGAATAAAAGAGACACAAAAGGGTAAAAGGGTATTAGTTTCCTCTGCAGAAAAAGTCTGTAATGATCTAGGTCAGTGGTTTTTAATCTGTGGTCTGTGGACCCCTGGGGGGCCACGATGTCATCACAGGGGGTCTGCAAAGGCTTAAAGCAGGGGTGGGGAATGTCCAGCCCAGAAACATTTGGTCTGGCCCACGGCAAGCACTGTGCCTCCTTTTCCCACAGCCTCCCCCCCTCAATGCTCCTCTCGTACTCAAGCCCTGCACCCCCCCCAACGCCTGCCCCAACAATCTAGTATATTCAGTACTAGTATGGTTGGTGGGACCCACTTAAATATTTTCTTAAAGATATTTTTGTAACCCAACAGTCCTCTTTAAGGCCACAAGGGGGCTTAAATCTGTTCCTCCACGTGGTGGCCCTTGGACTGGTAAACAAAAAAATATGGCAACTGAATAGAAACAAGGGGGGAAGGTGAGAAGAATTGTAAAAACTTTTCATCAAATTTTAATATAAAAATTGGCATCAAATTCATAATTAGCAGGTTAAAATACCAAAACCTAAGCCATTTAAGCAAGAAAAGTGTTGATTGTTTATATTTTAAATTCATATGGAATCATTGCAACAAAGATATTATGAGTGTGTGCATTAACAGATTAACTTATTTCCCCTTCTCTCCAAATTTGAAGACCCTTCATGAGAAAACTGAAATAAATATTTGATGCAGTCTGGTGCTTTAAATCGTGAATTAAATCTTGGTGGTCCACGACCACAAAAAGTATTTAAAGGGGGCCTGTGATGAAGGAAAGGTTGAGAACCCCTGATCTAGGTTATCCCAGTTCTGTGTGCAGGAATAATTTATAGTACCCCTTTCAGCTTACAGATTTTGAGTAAACCTCTTTCGATAACCAACAGCTGACCAAGAACTAGGGAACCGTATAAAAATAAACAACTGAACGCTAATCAAACCACTAAATCCAACAACTGAATATTAATCAAAAGCACAAATTTGGCTCCTTGATCAACCTTCTTCTTCTTCCTCTCCATATCACTCCATGCCAGCTGTCTAACAAGAAGGCAACTTTCTCTGGCAAACATAAGCAGACCACACCAGACGACAAAACGAGCTCAGACAACCTTTTCCTGGCTGGAATACAGAAGGAATCTTTTGGAAAAGTAATCAGAACTTAAAGCTTAAGATATTGAACACTGCTTAAATAGCACAAACAGAATAAACATTACACTGAATATATGAAAACCCCTGCTATTATAAAAAGGTGATGTTAAAGAACAGTTAGGACTGATGCAACTGATATACACAACATGGTGTCATTCTAAAAATAAATTCTCTTATAGTCCACTATTTGTATTGTTTATTAAACAACTCAGGAAATTGATACTTCCTTGCATCTATGTATTTTAGCTAAAAGCTATCTCAGTGTTTTTTTGCATTTCTAATACTAAAATTTATATATTTTACAGGGGTAAGATTCCTGACAAAAATATACCTAGTTAGTCAACTTCCTCAGTTCTACTGTGAAAAGTATTACTGCTATTCTTTAGGTAACTCCTGGCTATGACTATCAATTTCCCCTATAATAATTCAAGAACCTGACTAATCAAACCTACACTGAACAGGCATCTTCAATATACCAAGTTCCTAAAAAGTACCACTTAAATTCTCTAAGTTGAGTTTGACGTGGTCTGTTCTGGTTCATCAGCTGGCCAATCAATCGGAGGACACCACTCAAGACCAGCTATCTTGGCATAATCCAGATAGGGTACACAGCAATTTAGGACTTGATAAATACTGAGTGAGAAATTGGATGGTTTATGCGAGGTTAAGGCCATAGGAGACATGAAAAGAGAGACTACCATGAGTAGAAAGGAGAAAACCTCAATGAGGGATACACAACTACAGAAGAATTGTCATCTGGCAGTGATATTAGTGTGGGGTTTTTTTGGGTTTGTGGGTTTTTTGGGGGGGGTTGGGTGTTGGGTTTTGTTTGTTTGTTTGTTTGTTTGTTTTACAAAGTGTTGAATATGTATTTTAAATAGAATGTATTTCTATCAAAATGCTCAAGACCTGCAGAATAAAGACAGCTGCTTAAACAACATAACAGCACAACATAGACAACTACATAAATTTGCTTTGCACCACATAATCAACATATTTCAGCTGTGTTTTTTTCAAAAAGCCACAGAGAGGGAACAGATCAGTTTAAGGAACTTCCAATATACCTACTACAGTTACACAGTGCTTTTCACAGTGCAAATATTTGTTCACTTGAAAGATGATTCTAAATATTAATTAGTGAACAGTCACCTCTAAGTGAAGAGGTTTTGACCTTCACTTGGTGGCAGTGAATGTTAACTTGAAGTAGAAAGGGGCAAGCCATCATACTGACACTATAGAGCGGCTGGACAACAAACGAAACAAAAAATAGGCAGCTGACAGTGACCACATTTGTCCTCTAGTCCACTGGTAACACCACTGATCACAAGTTACTGACTCATGACTGTAATCAGAGTAATTAGGATCATCCTTTTGTGATTTTTTTGTCCTCAGAGAAATCCCAGAGGATGTTTTTCTGACAGTAACACTTTAGTTGAAGAGCACAAGATGACTACACTCTTCCTCCTTTTATTCTCATCCGTGTGTTCTCAAGTAATTATCACTGAAGGACAGTATAAAATATTCTGGACATGTTTAATCAACTCAGTTTTACATCATTTTTATCCTATTTTAAGAAATACAGATAGATGGCATCTCAAGCAGAAACTGGAGAAAGAACAAGTTAGTTCAACCTGCAGCTGACTGAAGTAATGACCAGGTGGTGAGGAAAGTAGCTAAACTGTTTTGGCAGAGTATGCATATCTTCCACTGACTTAGCATCCTTTTCAGCCAGTTGCTGTGCACACGCTTTGGACTCTTGTTGGCCTCCATGGCTGAGCAGCTGCAGTTTTGCTGTTTCCAGGCATGACCTGTACTAGTCTGAGCTTCACCTTCATGTTTTTTTCTGAGAAGAAACTACTGGTCCCCACTTTGGTCCAAGGTAACTCCAGTGAACTAACTTACAGGGCAGATAGGACAGCCTTTTTAAACACAGCCTAAGTCCAAAATTGCACCTTTTAAACAACTGCTGAGGTATCGGCAGTTCAAACTTTGCCGTTTCCTTCAGGATTCCTACTGGCATCAATACTGTTTAACATCTTTATTACCAATAACACTGATAGAACCAAATACATTCTCAGCATGTTTGTGGACAACATGGGAAGAGTGGTCACTAGGCCAGAAGTTAGGGTCTAGACAGGCTGGACAAACGGAACCCGATGAAGATCAGTGCAGGAAAGAAAATGCAACATCCTACATGCGGACTGGAATAACCCTGTGCAGCAATACAGGGTGGGCACTGGCTGGCTAGAAAGCAGTTTTGTGGAAAAAAAGACATAGGTGTCCTGGAGGACAGCAAGATGAACAAAAGCCAGCATGCCCTTACATTAAAGGCAGCCAACCACATCCTGGGCTGTATTCACAAGACTGCAGCCAGTGTGTCAAGGGCTGTGATTCTTCTGCTCCATCTGGCACTTGTGAGACCACATCTGGAGTGGCCTTGGGCTCCCCAGTACAAGACACAAAGACATCCTGGATTTTGTACATTCAAGGCCCACTAGGGTGGCTAACTGGCTGGAACACCCATAACAAGAAACAGGTAAGGGAGCTGGTTTGTTCAGTCTCATGAGAAGGCTAAAGTGAGAGTCTTCAAAGACAGAAATGGACTCTTCTTGAGGATGCACAGTAATGAGATACGACATAAGCTGGAAAATGGAAAACTCCAACTAGATTTAAGGAAACTTTTTTATTTTAAAACCATGAGTGGTCAACTACTGGGGGAGGTACTTGAAGAGGTTGCAGAATCTCCATCCCCAGAGATGTTCAAAGTCAACTGGCAGAGGTGCTGAACACTTTGCTATAATTGGACCTGCTCTGAGCAAAACTATGTGACCTCCCTTCCAACCTACACAATTTTTTGAATCTATGAAAACTAGTATTGTACTTGTATACTTAACTTTACAGAGGTATTATTTCTAACTCTCGGGTTTATGGGTTCTAAGAACCCAGTGGTATTATTACATTAAATATGGCATACAAATCACTTACATGACACTCCAAAAGAATAACTGCATTGGAGGTAGATAAGGACTTATGCAAAAGTATGATGCTTTAGAGGTTGGGGTTGGGGGTTTTTTTTTTTAATAGTTAAAGTAAATGCATCTAGCATAATCCAGGACTTTTCCTGTAATGTCTACGAGTAGCATGAGTAATCGCCCAAGCCAAAAATATCTTCTTGCCAGCCAACAGTCCTCAAGGACTGATCTTATGGTCTAAAATTAAACAAAAGATAAAACAAACATTCAAGTGCAGATTTTTTCAGCATAGTGTTTAAAAAGTTGGCCCAGAAGCATAATACATAATTCATCCCTAACTGATCTCCCAAAGAGTGAATTTTTTCATCTAGAGAAGAACTTGACTGCTTTTTCTCTGCCAAAGCTATTCATCTTCTCACAGACATGTCCTGGAAGTTAGCTTGCAAGACAAAGCCATTACAATGTCAGAATTTGATTAACGGGAAACAACTGAAAGTGAAGAAGGAAGGGTGTCACACACATATTACATACAGTACCATCTGATCAACTTTGTGGATCACTGTTGATGCAAAAACTTCTGGACACTTTGGTGTACCTCATTTTATTAAATCCAGATCTTCCAAAATGGGGACCTGTAGTCAGAATTAGATTGGGATCCAACACAGGAGAGAAAGTACTAACCTATGCATTCCTACAAGTCTGTGCCACTGAGATGCTGAGCTGCTGCACGCTGCTGCACCTTTTGTAGTATCCAGGTACCATTTAAGATCAGTTCAAGAACATAACGGAAATGTGCTGAAGTTGGTGAACTGTTTGGAAGAGTACCGATTCAGTGAGCCAAGCAAAGGTGCTGGCACACTACTTCAATGAAAGTCAACACTTTTACCCATTGATTGCTGTTGAAATGTTAGAAGCAAAGACTTGATTTCAAAAAGGACAGCAAATATTAAGTGTTTAACTCATATCTTGTTAATGGGCTTTTGCAGCATAGGGGAAAAAGTCACCATTTACATAATTTCTGCCAGGTTCTTCCTTGTTCTACTTCAAGCTCTCCCCTCTTATTTTGGGAATGAGTTTGAGTCAGCTACATTTTCTTCAACTGCTGTGTTAACAAATACACTGTCATTAAGAGTCTCTTGACAATGAAGAGCTGGGTCACCTCATCTGCATATTGAGGGGACCAAAGCACTCTGACCTAGTTCACATAGCGTATTTTTAACAAAATGAGGAGGAGTCCTGTAAAGGTAGCTGCACAATCTCACTTATCCATTACAAATTTGATGCATCTGAGAAGAAACAGTGGCAGCTTCAGGCATCTTCCTCCATCTTCACACTGGGTGAGGGAGCTGTACTCTAATTTATGGTGCCAAAGACCAGTAGGGTAGGTACCAATGTTTCACATTCATTATTCCATTTTTAAAATGTGTTTGTTTGGGGTTTTATTAATGATACAAGTGAAGTCTCAAAGTCTGTAGGAAAAGTACACAAGAAGAGAACAGGACTGGATCTGGCTGCTATCATCATCCCAGGTACTTTTACAATAAAAAAAAATTTAAAATACACAAGGTCTTTAATAATAAACAGCAATACCTTGTTAATTAGTAGCTTGTCTTCCACATTTGCCTTTCTGGGTATGTTTTTTATAAGTACTGTTTTCTAAACCTCCTTGACAAGGATGCAGTCTTTCCTCTGATCTTAACAATTTCTGTTTGCAAGATTAATTTAAATGAAATGCAGCACCATTTCCCCTCTCCGTTCAGATTTTTACCGATATTATTTTTATTGACAGTATCTGCCAAGTAGAAAGGCAAACTGTCATCTGATCAAGGTAATATTTTTAAGAAGTGGCTATAATTGTAGTAAAGGATGTTGAATTGATTATTCTAGAAACAGATCTATTAGATACAAGAACAGATACAAGATGTATAAAGACTGTACAAGATGCAACATTCCTGACTATGGCTTTAATAATAATACGGGGACAGTAATTGTTTTGAATAAGAAATCATTCCAAATTTCTGTTTCCATTCTTCTGCATTTCTGATGAGGGATGAAACAATTCCTTCAGTTAGGATGTTGTCCATTACAAGCCATGAAAAATAGGAATTTTACAATTTTGTTTCACACAAGCCCCCAAATAACCAGAAATCATGTGAAAAAGGAAGATGACTACATTAGACATACGTTAGTGGATTTATGGGGAGAATTTCACATCTGCTACTGTGATCTATTAACGTGTGTTGAAGAAGGTAGCAGAATAACACCTTGATTCTTGATTAATATGTTTGGTATTGAATTTTCTGAAGTTTTTCAGAAGTTGGATATAAGCCATGATGTTCAGTTCAGCCCCTTCCAAGAATCTACATATGACTGCTTTCCTGATGATTGCATTACTGTGCACCATACCACCTCCTTCAAGTAAAAGAAGCTTTTCTCTACCAAATGTTTTCTATGATCTCTAGTATTAAAATCAATGTTCCTCATTTACATGACTATGTGACATGTACAAAATACGTAGTCTGGTATGTAAAGCAACAGATTCCTACCAGAATAATCTAAAAGTAAATCTGAATTTTCATTTTAGTTATTAAATGCATGCATTTATCTATAAAACTGCATGCAGTACCAATGAGGCATCCAAAAAAAATCTGAACGCTGGTGGTTTTGAAGAAAGCTCTATGCTAGATTCTTCAGAATATTTATTATTTTATGAAGCTGACTAAAGGAGCAATAGGACAAGAACAACATAGAAAAGTCCACTACAACAGCAAACAACAAAATAAAAATACACACTTTCTCAATCTTTCTCATAAATAATAACATACTGTTTGAGATCTTCCAACAATAACCATGAAATACTGCAAAAAGGCACACCAAAAAGTGAGATAAGGGGTATTATGACATACATGTTGCTTTATCATTGAGTGCTCATGAAGAAAATTAGATCCATTGAAGCATTTCAGTTTGGAAGGTTGTCACACACTAATGGCCTATGGTTAGAATACAGAATATAAATCTTCCTTCATTTTTGAGCTATTCAGTTGTCCAGGCTGCACATTACCAGTAAAACATGGGTGATTCTACACACACTGCATCACTTATGACAGCAATATGCAGGTCTTAAATTGCAGTGAAGAAATAATTTTCAGAGATGACCCCTAGAAAATATGAAAACCCCTTCTGGTAGTTATTCTACTTTGCATTTTAAACAAACAAGCAAAAAGCCTTCCTTCCTTTCTATAATGCCATTTTGAGAAACGAGTATAGTTTGCTTCTGTTTGTTTCCTTTTCTGTGAAGCATCTCCAGAGACATTTTAGTAAACCATCAGAAGTTAGCTGACAAATGTAGGCAAGACATTAAGACCAGTGAGTTTTTTAAAACAGTGGGGTTTTTTACTTGCTGCTTCCTTAAAAAGAGTTTATTTTTTAAAAAGCTTCCATTTTAAAGAATCCTTGAATGAAATTTTGGTGAAGTTTAATTTCATCTAAAAGAATATGTTAAGCTTATAAATTCTGCTTCATTTTAAGAAATTAGTACATCACTATATGCCTCCATAAATAGCCTTTTAGCTGCCTTCTACCAGTGCTGGTATAAAAGCTCTCCTAAATCAAGTCTATTAAAAGAAAGTTAATTTTGACTAACCTTTTATTCAAATGTGAGAGCATTCAGACAGTGAGAGAGAGCTTCAGCGTAATGGAAAGTCAGTTATATCCAAGCCATAGTATATAAGAAGGAATGATGCAAGAAAAAATTGAAAAGAACAGAGAAAAATGAGTGCAAATATCTGCTTTAAAGGACAACCAGGTTCTGGAGGACTCTTCAAGCATAACAGGATTTGCCTTCTGAGCAAGAATCTTTGGATTACCAGACCTGAACACTAAGTAGAGTTCATGTAGAAGAGAAAAAGACCATTGCAGTATACCAGCATAAGATGCCATGGCTAAATGCAGTTTTCTGTGGGCAAACAGGATGCAAGTGGTACTGTGATGTTTTGCAACTTGAACACATTAGTTCTTAGAGCAAAGTTCCTGTACAATATCTTAATTAGTCTGGCACACTACTACCACCTACCACTGCCTTGGTTTGCCTTTAGCCTGTAAGCCATATCCAGCACACCGTCAAAATATTATTTCCAAGAGATGTTATACAAAATCAAGCATTCTAGCTCTTTTCCCAAGGTGTAATTATTATTTCAGTTTATTACAGAATTCACTGTACCCTCTTTAGGCTTAAGGACCTTTCTAGTCTCCCACAGGGACTCTTGATTTGGTAATCTTTTTCCAGTCTTAGGATTTTGTAGCCCTTATAGCACTGACCTGATCCAGACAGCCCACATACCCTCCAGGCTCCCACCTCCTAGGATTCTGCCTTCGAGGTCTTCTACAAGTCCTCTTCTCAGTAGGCTTCCTTCTTGACAGCCTGACCCCAAAATTCAGATGCTGCAGTATTTCCCAAGACACTTTGTTGTTAACAAATGTTCCCATGTCAGGATCTCTGGATTGATGTGAGCTACACAAATTTTGACAAGGCTGAGGTCTAAAACCCAGAAAGGGACAACCTGATAGAGACTCCTAATTGCAATAGTGTTATTTCTCCTGGGGAATATCAAGTTAGTGAAGGTGTATGAACAACCTCTGTTTTACCTGCTCCTCTAAAAAGCTATATATGATCTTCTTTTTTGGCAAGGAGCACTTACCCTGCTGCCCCTGCGGTGTTTGTGAGATGATGAACTGTGCTGGCTGCAAGTTGGTTGTTGGATGCACCAACACAAACTGTTGCAGGTTGAGATTCTGTTGCTGAAGCTGCTGCAAGTGCTGCAAATCCTTAAGGAAACAGGGGAAGGGGAAAAAAAAAAAAAAAAAAAGGGAGGAAAAAAAAGAAAAAAAGAACAAGGAAAAGAAAGAGCTGTGTGTTAGACATTTAAGTCAGCCATGACTCCCAATGCACTAGATTTCCTATCAACCAGTTACATTCTAACATTCAGAGATAAAAGTGGATGTCAAACACAGCAGTCTTTCTACTGAATATCCTTTAGACTGGCAATTTGAATGTCAGTGTACTTCGTAAAACCAAACAAAAACTGTTTACCAAATAACCCAGCAAAACACCTCCAGCACTGTTCTGCTTTTAACACAAAAAATCATCCATCTCCCTCCTCCCCAAATGCAAAAGTTTTCAAATACTTTAGACTTATCAGCACCCAGATTTCTCACTTATTTTTTGAGGATGCAACTCTGCTACAAAATTCATTGTTGTCAAATCAAGCATATTAGCTGGGAGCTATTTTTGTTTATAACAACAACAATCTGCAATTACCATTCTGATCAGCAACAGGAAAGCAAAAAATTACAGATTCCTAGTTTGCACTCTGGTTGTTCAGATTGAATTTTGGGAAGTAGCTAACTCAAATAGTAAACAAATACATTTGATTAGTTCTGAAACAAATTACAATAAGCTTAATAGACATGGCTATAATTAAAGGTTAAAAGGAATAACCCAAAACACTGCACTATTGTAGAACCCTACTCTTAGGTAGTTAAACCATTCAGAACTATTAATTTTCTATAATTAAATGACTAGTCTCAACATAAATGCTAATCTGAGAAACTGAATCATCAAGAAAAATGCTGCACCTTGCTGTTTAGCTGGAGAATGAAAACATAGAGAACCACTTAATAATATTCACCCCAAACTAGCCTTTTTTAATCTTCTCCAAACAGGACAATAACAAGAGTAACCAAAATTTGAAAACTGAAGCACAACGTGAAGCCAGCCAATTTGACAGAGATAATTATGAAAATGATCTATACACATGCAGAATCCTTCCATCTTTCTGAAAAGAAGCTGTTTCAAAATACCTGCCAAGCAGGTGAATAGAAGTCTGAAATACTTCCCACACTTAAAACCTCCCATTAACCAAACCAAACCAACCAACTAAACAAAAACTCTCCCCAAAACTATTTCAGAGAAGTTACTCAGATAGCGGGGTACCCGTCTGCAGACAGACACCCTCTTCTGCCTCCAACTGTGTCAGATCTTAACACTGGCAGTTTGCTCAATCTGGCTGCTGAAATGCAGCTGCTCGTTTTAACATACTTCCTAACATACTTGAGTTAAAGTGAGCCAGACTAACGAAGACCTGCTTCTTAAGGCCAGTAAAGTAGCCCCCACACATTCTGACTGACGCAGGTTATTGAGCACTCACACAAGTTGCTCAGCCAGCAGATGTGATAGGCCATTAGCTGTCAGCAATGGAGATGGTGATGGAATGTCAAGACAGACTGACAAGGATAACTTTTTATTTACACAACACAACCATTTGCAGAATATAGTTATGTGTCTATGACCTCACATTATTTTAAAACTGTTAAACTAAGACTTAAAAGCTGCAACAATCTCCTACTGGGGAAGAGGGCTTGGAAGTGTCAGTGGGTGAAAGGGAAGACTAGGAAGTTTAAAAAAAAAAAAAAAAGAAAGAGAGAGAAAAAGAGTCCACTGATTTATGAGAATACAGACATTCATTATAAGAAAACAACTACTTAACCTGCATCACAAAGACACTAGCCATCAATCACTTATGCAACTTGGTCATGTTAAGTCAAAAGCATGCAATGTAATAATATGGTAGACAAACACCAGATGGATTGACCAAGCAATGCTCTTTTAAAAAGAAGATTTCATAAGAGAATGGTAAATTTTTTAAAAGTGCCCCAGCATATGAGTGTTTAAAAGTTGATAGCAGTGTTTGCTTTCAGAAAATTTAAGAAGTACTGCAGCCATTCCTATGAAATCAAGGCCAATTTCCTTCCTAAAAAAAAAAAAAATTAAAAAAAAAAAGATAAAAAAAAAAAGATACAGCTGCTCCAGTGTTTCCCAGGAACTCCACATTTCTTCTGACTTTGTATCATAAAGCTACATTGCTACTAAAAAGTCTTACTTCTTGCGCCCAACATAACACGGACCTCCACTCATTTATTAATTGATTTTCAGTGCTCTACTGGTTACCTTTGCAGATTGAGCAGACCCTCCAGCACAGAGGGGCTCATACTGAATTACATGCAAGGACTAGATGCAGAGGAAGAAACAGAAAGAGTAGGGCAGGCTAAGGCTGTGAATGCTGGGTGGAAGAAAAAGAAATTAAGAAAGAGTGAATAATGAAAATAGAAGTGGATTAAAGAAAAAGTAGAAACACAAAGGAAGAGTTGGGAAGATATTTTTGAAGGAAAAAGTGTGGACAGAAAAAAAAACCCCTGATAGACTGAGGACCTCCCTCACCAAAAGCAATAAATGAACACCACCACCCCCCGCCCCTACAGATGACCAAGTATATCTCAGCTGATTCAAAGAAGCACCACAGGAGATGGAGTTACATACAAGAAAGAATACAAAGAAACCGTGGCAGTGTATTTGTAAGATCAAAGGAGGAGAGCTTTTTGTTTAAGAGTATAGTATTCATAACACAGGGTACCCAGCTAAGACATGACAGCTCTTATCATCAGGCTCTTACACTTTAATATGAGAAAACGGTTTTTAAATTGAGGCCTCAGGGATAACTGGTATAAGCAATCTTATTCTGTGCATCTGCCTTGGTAAGTGGTATGTCGGCTGAGTCTTGTTTAAATACAGAAATATAATTCTGTAAAGCAGTATGGAAACAATACCTCCAAGGCTAATCACTCTTAAATAGCCCTACCATCCTCTCAAATTCATTTGAAATCCAACTTTATTTCTACCTTGGGAAAATTTTATTATTTAGTTAATTGTAGCACTACAATAAATCTCCCAATAGCCACCATGCAAACAACCCTGACACTGTTTTCTTGTGTTTTTTTTTTTCCTCAGTCGTAAAATTGTATACTAGCACAAGCACATAGAACGAGATAGAAAAACACACATGTCTTCTAGTGCTGCCTAACAATTTAGAAATATCAAAACAATTCAACTCCTACCTTGGCAGAATAATCTGCCATGTCCCTCATTTTGATGTGAGGAAGTTTTTTGGTAAAAAAAAAAAAAAAGTCATCCAAAGTACTAAATTCAATGCCACTATCTCTAGTTACAACTTCAGTACAGACTTCAGCATCTCTGTCATTTTGAGGTTTACACCATATAAACACTGATCATGGATCCTGAAAACAAGTAAAGTTCACAAAGAACTCCAAAAATTGCTACAACTGTTTAGTGACAATTTAGCATCAGCCCAGCAGTAGCCCTAACATCTTACCAGACTGCTGCAGCAGATACCTTACATTAACTGCAGTGCACATTAAAGAAGTCATGCTTGCGCAATTAGTTAATTAAAATAAATATGGTAATCCCCCTGCTGCAGCGACCTGCCAGTTAATCAATTATTCAAAAATCATAAATTAAAACAAACATTCAGTTATTTGTGTAATCAGCTATATGTTTACAATAGCAATGCAAACAAAGCTTAGCACTGTTTACAAATCCTTGTCAAGATGGATCAAAAAACATGGTGTTAACCACCTACAAACCTAGATGGTAGAAGTTTTCCATAAAGTATCTCAAACTATATCCAACACCTGCACAAATTATGCCCTGCACTTTCTTCATAAGAAGTAGCTAACAAGATTCAACCAAGCTACGTTTATGCATCAAAATAACCTGTCCTAAAATAAATTGTGAAGTAAAGCATTTAAGTAATTAGGAACACCAGAAAACAATTGAAACTAATTTACTCCCCTTGTGCTATAAATACACATTATATGGTGGCAACTACATGATCACATGCTATTTTTCATAGAGCCTTTGGCTCATTCACGCACACAAACCAGACAATGCTCGCTTCAGAAGCTCCTATTTGACAGCATATGTCTGATCTTTTCAACTCTTCTCAAACACTTCTCTGAAGATTTTGCAAGTTCTGGAGAAAAACCCAGTACTAAATTAATAATTGTAAAAGCTTCACACATTTTCATAGCTTCCCATTGAACAGGAAGAGTGGGATTAGCAACATCTCATGCATGCAAAATAATGCCTTCAAAAGCATGCACTAATTTGGTGGCATATTTGACAAATGCAAAGCCAGAAAGTTCAAGGTACAGATTTTATTAATACGAAATTTTAATGCTCTGCACTTCAGTAAAGCAGACCTTGCTGTCCTAAGCTGCACACCTAGAAGACAAGAGGCACACATCTCTGGATCACTTACATTTAGGTTAAGAGACTCCCATAATATCAAATGGGAACTCTGTGACAGACGTATGGAGTGATGTTAGAAGCTAACCATCATCTTTCTTGACAAGGACATTTCCCATTCTGTCTGTATTATTGGCTACAGACAAAGGCTTAACAAAATTAAGAGATGGTCTTGTGAGTTACGAGTTTCCTTAAATGCTACATTAAGTCATCTTTAGATCATGACAGCAACGTGGGATCCTTTGCTAAAAGAAGTACTAATATTCTGATCACATGACTTGTTGCAGTGCTCCGTGTGAAGGGTCTGCAGGCAACATCAGTACTGGCCTCTGTAAGGATAGCCAGAGCAGTCATAACTTTTAGACCAACACCACAGACATTTGACGCTTCAGGTGACAAAAACCGATGGCAGAACCAAGCTTTCAGCTAGTGGACTAGCACAAAAAAAGGAATAGTAGCTTTCACCAATGGACTTCCCAGATAATTGCAACATTTCCATTGTTTTACCTAATCAGCCCTCATCTTCACTTCTTAGACACTTCAACCCAGTTGAATGCAAGTGAAAATAGTCTGAATAGAAAGCATCAGATGATCTTAAAGAAGCAACTCTCTAAGAAGCAGCAACTCAGGAGACTACATACCCAGTGTATTTTGCACAGCTAGACTAATCAAGCTGAAATATTACATACTGAGAACCTTAATCTATGGAAAGATGGACCTCAGCATCACCAACACCATCACCTACTAGTAGTATTCAAGATGCCTACGCTATACATTCAGTTATCCTCATCCAGAAGTCTAAGAAGTTTCCACACTAGATATGTTAAGTGTTGAGTCAGTGGTGCTGCATTCTCCACACTGAACTAAGCCAACCCTGGAAGACCCAGGAGGATCTTTGCTGCTCCTAGTAAGAAGAACTTCCTTGGCAAGCAGTTCTTCAGAATTAAGAATTAATGGGTCTTTAGCAGTAGACCATAAAACTGGCCAGATTCCAACACCAGACTCATTCTGGCAAGTTCTTTAGACACATGAGTGCCCCTTCTTTGACACTGAACTCTAAGCATTAAGCACCAAGCCAAAATAGCACACAAATGCGTCAAGTCAAACTGCCTTTCTTTAGCTCTATCATTTTGCTGTTTAGATCTAACAAGCATCCTTTATGACACACAGGTATCCCTTCACATCCACACAGGTCTCGACAAGTGTATTTTCTATGGGCATCTTTCTATACTCCTTTTTCTCCTTTCTCAAACTAACTACAAGGAAGAAAATTCAGAAAATACAGCATCTGCTCAGATTCTGGAACAAACTCAGAAGCCCAGTGGAACTGATGAGTAGCTGGTATGCCTTCTTTGCTAAAACTATCGATTTCAACCTCATCAGCTAAGGATGCATGAGGAAAGACTAACAGTACTCAAGACTCCAGAAACTCACTGAATAAGGAATAAATATTGAGCGATGCAATTAGTCAAACCTCTTAATTCTCCACCCTCTCAAGCCTCAAGGCTCACCTGTGCAATCTGTATTGGCTGAGATAGAGGGATCTGCGTCATCGGCGTTGCAGCAGAGGCCGAGATGGTGGCACCAGCAGCGCTGTGCTGCTGACTGGCTGAATGCTGCACTGCAGCCGCCAGCAACTGTGCCTGCGCCTGTTGTAGCAATAACTGTTGCTGGGCTGGCGTCAACGTGAGCTATAAATAATTAGAAAACACAGCCATTAATAATGGAAAGAGCCAATTCAGCTACAAAGTCATTAGCTAGCTCATTACTAGTTATATCAACCAGACATTCCTAGAACTATTGCTATAGTTCAGCCATTAACTGGCCAATGACTCTGGCCTTAAGTAAGGACAGCTGGCTACCCAACACAGTGCACAAACCAACCTACCACAGGCCTGACATAAACCAAACCGCACAAGCGCAAACATTGGCACTTACTCGAACTTACAGCACCTAACTTTACTCCTAAGTTTTCTTTACAACTCTACAGGGAGGTTCAGGAAAAAGGTAATTAAGTAGCAAGCAAAAGAAAAGAAACAGTATTGCCAGGATTTGAAAGGAAATTTACACCCAGCAGAACAGAAAGTGATTAGCCAGATGAATGAGAAGCAGGAATGCTGGCTATGGCTACTGAACAAACTGATAACACCCCAGCTGCTTCACATTAGCATGAATCCCTGCCATATTCCATCATTTCCATTATGCCCTAAGATATAAGTAAAGAACATGAGCTCCATTTGTTTCTCTCCAAGTCTCCCCATCTGCTTTTTTTTTTTTAAATAGAATAGAGTTGGCAAGTTTACATCCCTTCTCCTTCCCAAACACACATTATCTCTGTGAAACAGGTGGCAGCAGTCTCTCCTTTACATGTAAATGACTCTTGATGCCCATATTTACTACAGTCCATATCTGCACAGGCCTGGAGTTTTGGATGTTTCACTACTGCAGACAATCATAAATTAAAACAAACTGGTATTTTTTGAGAATGAGAAAAATAGTGAAATATGCTCGGTTTTAATAACGTATTAAAACAGTCTCACTTTTAAAACTTTCAAATGCAATTAACCAAAAACTAAATAGGATGTTTATTTACACACTAGCATACAAGAAGATTTAACAATTAAATATGAAATTAAGACATCGCTTCATTCAAGTGCAGAGATGATCTAACCTAGTACTTCAAATCATAAATACACTGTTTTTGCAACTGCCCTAAATTCCTTATTAACACGCAAACTCTTGAAACTGCAAAGCTGATTATGTGGAAGGAAACACTTTAACCAAACCAGTCCATTCACAAAACTTGCTCTTTTTTTAAATGACTGAAAGCATTTACAACAATTCAGAAATGCCAGTAATCCTAAAACAACAGTTATTCCATAATTACTCCCAAAGCCTTGCAATTAAAAAAATCAAAATCGGTAGCTTAAAACATAAGGGTTCCATAGGCTTAAGGCAAGCACTACTATAGTTACTTTAAAAGAAATGTGTTTGAGAAGAGGAAGAATTAGTGTCAGCAGTTCCCACCATTTTTGTTCTTCACCCAGCTATCTGTAAGATTTAGTCTCATGCTCCCATGCTTCATTTTAATCTTGAAAAAAAAAATAAAAATTCCTCTTTAACATCAGTGACTTTCTTATTTCTACAGGCACTGGGTTTTATTTTCATTGCAGAGTAAGATGGATACTGAGAAGAGAGGGTAATAATGTAATTTTTTTTTTTTTTAAGCAGATACTTTGTAACAAAAAAACAAAGATTAAAGTCTGCTTTTTATAGGAAGGTATTTTCTGTCTCCTATTTCACTCAAGTGTCTTCCTATGTTAAAGGAAATTACAATAACCTCCACTGACAGTTCTATGGGGACTGCTGTAGATACTGCCATCATTTGCTGGACAGGAGGCTTACTGCAGTATACTTGGGTAAATCTTACCCCAGTGATCTGTCCTCCGGCCAGCATGAGCTGGGTCTGGGGTATGGCCGCCTGCACTGAAGGCTGCTGGGAAGGCTGGCTTGGCTGCTGAGAGTCCCCAGATTCTTCATTAGATTTAGACTAGTCAAAAAAAGATACAACTCTTTATAGTGTAAAACAGATGTTAATGTATAACACTGCTATCTCAACACTGCACAATAAAAATCTTTCATCTGCATACAAAAAGCCCTTGGGTTTATTTTAAGAGTGTGTTTAAGCAATGGCTCTATGTGCCCACCATCTCAGTCACGATTGCTCAAACATGTCTGTAGGTAATGCAGTTTAAACAAAACAAAAAGACTCTCAGGTCTTTTGTAACTCTTTGACGTTATTTTCAAGTCTCATTTCATTTTATGCAATGCAACTGAAGCTGACACTACCTTTCACCATAAAGAAAGAAAAGGTTGTTAAAATTATTCATTGCCTAAAATCCTGAACAATGGAATGAGGGAAAGAAGATTGTGTTTCCATTTTCTATATCTGCATCCTGCACCTCTAAGTCATCGTAGTGTTGGCTTATACAGAACTGGTTTGAGAAATTTTCACAGGTCTATCAACCTACAGCAAAATACATAATATATACAGTGCTTTTAAATAATCAAAGTTTAGCATTTTTTAATTGAATGTTGCTTTATTTTAAATTTTCGTATGTGTTTTCTCTTTTGGGGTTTTTTAAACAGAAGAAATTGTGAAGACACGAGAGAGGAAATGCAAGTGCATGAAGAGAGGGAGAGAGTTTTATGATAATTAAAACTGGTTATGCAGAACATTAAAATTCTGCATAGATTTGCATATTTTCCACCACCTGTTTTGGGGACTGCAGAGCAGGCTAATTAACATAGAGGCTCTGATTAATTCTGCCAGTCATTGAGCGATAATTACAGCACAGGACTGTAAACATTCTGCACTGGAGATACAGCCTGTTTGCCAACATCTCTCTCAGGGATGGAAGTTTACCATGGCAACCAAGGCAATTTTCTGCCTCCTTCCTCTTAGAAAGGAAGGTCACTATACCTCCTCTTCTTTCCAAATTGTTATTATGTATAAGTGGGTCCACATTCTATTGCATTTCATGTAATGCACTACCTACATTCTTTAATAACAAGCAATACTGAAACCAGTTTTCAATAAAACTGCATCCCTTGCCCCTTAATATAGTACAAAGAGGAAGTGACACGTTAACTGATACACTGAAGTGTTCAGCATCATAAAAAAGTTTGAAAGCTTTGTTGTCTCACGTACATTATTAAACAATTACTCTGACTTATTTTGAAATCACTATGTGTTATTTACACAAGCAATCTACACTAGCCACATTACGCAGTTAACGTTACATTATACTCCTATATTCAGCTACCAGATATAAGGACAAATTGCAAAGTAGTACTCGCTATGTTTAAAATAAGTGAATAAATGGAAGAACATGAAATATTCCTGGAGTTTTATAGTTTTCGTGATACAGCACCTGACTGAAATTCTGTATAAAATTACAATCACTGCATGTTTTAAACAACTCCAGTTTCTGAATGCTTACAATCCTGAACCTGATTTACAGTTGTAAAGCTATTATTTCCTCATACCTCACTTCCAAGACCAGTCAGAATGAAAAAACAGAATAACATATCATAGCTTAAAATCTATCTCTAATGGGACCATAATGCTGTTTGGAATGAGAGAAGGACAAGCAGCAGCAGGAGATTGTCTTTACCTGTACATTTAAGGACTGAGCAGCAGCCTGTAAACTTGTTCCAGCGAGCTGGACCTACAATACAGTGCAAAAAATTGAAATGAAATAATGTAGAATTCACAGAAAACTGTAACAATGTATAAAGAACAACCTCCCCACCCTTATCCCAACAAAAACTCCCCCAAGAACTATGCATGCCCCTTTAACACCTGAATCAGTGAAACAGGGGTTGTGCTCCAGACTGAAAAAAAGTCTGTCTCTTCCACAGTGTTATTTGTCTACCTCTTGCTGAACATATTCTTGCCTAGAGATCTAGATACTATCATGAAATTGAGTTGAAACAGAGCATTTGGGTGTGGACAGGCTAACTATTCCTATTCCTGTTAAAAAAATCCAGTCCTCAGAGGAGGGCATTAAGTTCTACTCATCACCATCCTTCTAATATTTCACAATGGATCCTACCCCAAATATGTACACTGCATTCACCTGCTTCCTTATACAACAGAGGAGCAATCACCTGCATAGTACAAAACCCACAGCATAAACACTCTTCCTCAAATCAACCCATTCAAGTATTTGCAGTCCTCAGCCACTGAAAAGAAGGTTTCAATACAGAGGACTGGAGACACTTCACAAAGGCTGTATTGCTTCAGGTATACTCAAAACTTGAATTCAGTATTTGTGATTAACAGGTTCAAGGAAGTTCTTGTGGGTTAGCAGTGAAGAAAAACTGATCCTTCAGAAAGAGATTTTTCAAGAGCGTTACTTTATCTCTAATAAGGATTTTCTCTGTAAAATAAATGCTAAATTTTCATTTACTGAATGTACTGAAAACCATTTTTATCAGTCTCACCTTGTTTCTACCACTACTCAAAGGAATGCTATGTAATTAATTACCAACACTTTCAAAGGTCAGAGTTACAGCCTGTACTGAATTCCATGTTCGGAAACCACTGCTCATTTGAAAAAAACAGGCAACACGTAAGGATACAATAAAGCAAAGCAAAATGTAGCACTCTTGCCTCTATAAAAAGATGTCCCCACATAATATACATCACAAATGAGAGTCCACATATCTGCAAGCACAGTAAGGAGTCTATTAATTTAAATTGCAGTACATGAAATTAATAACTGAATGTTCAAGCAGACAACCCTTAAGTGTCACCTTGGAAATATTTCCTACTGCTCTAGATGAAGGTACTAGACTTACTAAGCATGTTCTACATCTAGGCAAACACTCCCAGAAAAGCTCCTCCTCATCACAAGCCAAATGTAGTTTAACAGTTGATATAATGTGAGCTTTTAACATGAATTAACAGCAGAGAATAACCTAAACAATAATAGCTTTCCATCCAAAAAAATATACTCCGAAATACTACTTTAAAAATTACATAATAATAGAAAACCCACATAAGAGACTACAACCATATCTCATTCAGGTACAGCCAGCATATTCCTGAAAATCTCTTTGAATGAAATTTGGACCCCCCTTCCACCACACAACAAACATTTTCTAATTAGAAACTCAACTGCTCCTGAACATTACCTACAACCTAACATTCTGTATTAGTCTGGAGGAAAGCAGTGTGTGTTAAGGCTGAATAACACCCCACTAACAGCAGCCACACTAGAAGAGGACAGTTTGACAATAGATTCCCACACACCTGCAGATGCATGAAAGAATAGCTGAGATTTTCCTTTGAACTAGAGTTTCAAGAAATGAATCACACTTTATCAAACATGAAGTTACAAAGATCCTGACAACTGTTCAAATAAATACATTTCCAAAGCACGATAAAGCACTATGCTAAATATAATTACTGTCCTGGATCAATCTGTATAACAAAAGGAAGACTAAAACAAACACACAAAATTCTGCAGAACAGCTGTATCTGTCTTCCTGTTAAACACATACTAACAACCCATGAAAATTAGTCAGCTTCTCTCCACATAAAGGCAGCCTGCAACAGCTTATTGGTTCAGCAAATTCAAACACTGGCACTCCCTAGGTCCTGTATAACCCAATCTGCTAGGAAAATTGTAATTATGTGACAAGACGTGTGGAATGTTCCATACAATAAAATGGTAGTTCAGAGCTCTTAAAAAGAGGGCATAAAAGCTTCAGCACGTCAATTATACCACAATAACTGTGCAACCTGAGACCTGAAACACTCAAGGTCAGCCAATTAGGTACAGTATTTTAAAGTTTAAACTTGGTGCTGAGGAAGGGAAAGAAATTAGGACATTTGTTTTCATACATCAAGTGCTAACAGATAAAAAAACTACAAAAAAAATGCCCCTTATACTTCTCTTCACCTAGGGATGCCCCATTTTGCTTCAGCCTACATCTGAAGTTCAGCTTTGATTCCCTAAACACAGCAGCAGCAGAAGAGGGATAGTAGTAGAAGCCTGAATACAACCTGACAAACAGGTCCTTGAAATAACTTTAAAAAAATAATCACAAACCAAATATGTTTAGTAAGTACGATCACTTTGTATTTCTAGTTAATGTGTAAGAGATTGAAACACTGAAGCGTAGTGCTTCTGGTTTCTTAACTAGGTAGTGACAGTTTCAGAACCTTGGCAACTGTTGGGCCAATACAATCCTTTACCAAAAAGATTAAATTTTACTTTGCCTTTCAATTTTGTATTTCCAGTAAGGCTTAAAAACAAACAAACAAAAAACGCCCAACCCAACCAGGCATTCTCAAGTGTCCAGAAAGGGGCTTTCTAGTTCCCCCCAATAGGTCTCACCCTATCTTGATGTATTCTGCAGCCTAGTGCAATGCAGTGAGTGCCACAATAAGAACTTCTTCCCACCCAAGCTATTTAAGCATGTGGTCTACCCATGTTCTTTTACATGGCTATCCATCATTCACAAAGAGAGAACACAGAACATACAAGAGCAGCTGCACTTGTACCTTCTCAAGTCTCCCCTACTTTGAAATGGGTCTTCTCTTACCTGATGAAGGTGCCCAAAGAAGGCCTGGGCCTGGGCTGTAGAGATTGCTCCTCCGACAGGCACAGGCTGCTTTTGAAAGTCCAGGCCATTTGTTTGCGTGCCTGGAGAAAGAGAGATATTAAGAACTATTAAGTTATTACTTTTATGAAATGGAATTAGAATTAATATTACTGAGTCACCTGCTATTCTCTCAATACTATGTAGTAGAAAAATACTCTGACAGTAACAAGAATTAACATTTTTTACTGAAAGGCAAGGTGGGGAAGCAGTGTCACTTCCAGACTTCAGTAATATATCATCTGTCAGCTGAACAAAATCAACATTTTATTTTCTTTAGCTTCTGTCATCTTACCTACTCTACCACGGTTTGAGAACCAAATGAGCGCATCCTGCTACAGTTAAACTGTGTTTCCATTCTCCATGCACTCTCTAACCAACAGCTGATAACTATCTTCAAGTTCAGCAAGTGGCAAGAACAAGATTCATATAAAGTCACCTTTCATTAAAGACAGGTAAAATAATACTTGGCAAAGCCAGAAGTACCATAAATATATATATATACACACACACACACACACATATATATATATAGACACACACATATATATATAGACACACACATATATATATAGACACACACACACAGAGATATAGATATAGATATATATATAGATATATATAGATATATAGATAGATATATATATATATATCTCAGTAATGGGCCACAGTTTTTACTCTTTGGATAAAAGATACCTCCACATTTCCATGAATATTTGTGCAGAGCTCTCATTACATGAGATAACTGCCTGGGCTTACTTTTGCTCTCACCCACTTTTTTATAACTAAAACCTGATTATTTTCCTACATTTTTGTTGTCTTAAAACAGCTCAGAAGACATGAAAACAAAACTATCCCCAAATAATCTGGTTGTCAGAAGGGTGGGGGGGAAACACACCCTGAATGTTTTTTCCACAAGAAACTACCACAGAATTCTCTTCTGCCAAGAGGAACTGCACCTACAAACTTTTAAGAATCATTCTGTGGGGAGATGATAAAATCAACATTAGAGATTATCAACAACTGGTTTTGTATGTTGGGTATTACTGCCTACAAGAAGGGAGACTCTGGGTGTATCAGGCTGCACGAAATTTTTGGAACACATGATGCAATCTTAAAAACTGCATGACTGAAATGAAGTAAAACCAGCTTTAGACTTGAATGTTTACTCTTCATGACAATCAGATTTTGCTTAGTGCCTGTGGACAGGTGTTCAACTAGTTCCTACTGCAAAATTCCTTGCATCGTCTACATTTTTCACCATAAAAATCTAGGCTATCTACTAAGCAAAAGAGACTCACAGTTATTGAACAATAAGGGTTTGCTATTCCTTAGAAACATCTGCAAAAGCAAGCGGGCGTAAAATTTTATTAGTAAAATACGCTATCCAGTATTTTATATTTCTATTTTGACCTAAAAAGAGCTTACAAGGAAAAATTTCCAAAGATGAAGTCGCTGTTCAATTAAATATAGATACAACACAGACAGACAAGCTTTCTAGCAGCCATGTAAGGTATACCTAACGTGGCCCTTTGATGCATCTTTGGTGGAGGTGTTGTGGGGGAAGAGTTGGTCTACTCTCAAGTTTTTAATTCTAAGCTTTGGGTCAGGGTTTACAAGACTTAAAGGACATACATGCAGCCAAAGGTTGACAGGCATTTTAAAAATACTAAAATTTTAAACTATGTAAAATGATTTTGCTTTAGTGAGTCTAAAATTCCAATCCAACATGAATGGAAAGACTATCACTGGTCTGAATTGATCCTGAATGAATGCAACTTGGTTGCATTTCTCCAAATGAAAGTAGATAAGAACTGCTGCAAAGAGCTAGAAGAATCTCATCTATGTTTATTCTTCCCAGTAAACTGCAGAATTCTCTCAATGTAGAAAGCCAAAGGTAGTGGGAAGATGATTGGGTAAATATATAAAAACAATTCCTGACAAACAGCTATTGTCATTCAAAGGAAACAATCTACCACCTCCTCATTTAAGCTGATGCTCTGAATCAGTGTTCAACCTGTGGTCAGGGACCACTAAGTAGGAAAAAAACCACAGGTAAGAAAACCTACAGTAAGGCACATATTCCTCATTCCAAATGGAAAACTTGCAGGGGTCAAAAAAAAAATTATCCACTTTTGAAAGCTCGAAGCCTCACCTTAAATATATAGGTGAAGCTGTTCTAGTTAACTACCTTCCAAAAAGAACCTCAAATCACGGTATCATATTGAAAGAGCACCACTGTGCATGTGTGCAGAAGAAATGCTCCAGTTAGCACTTCTGCTGACTCTTAATATGGAAATTCAAAACAAGCCTCCTAGGGCTGATGGTTTTGAACAAAGCAAATTGCAAGACTGAGCTTAAAATCTCCATGGGTCTCAAAAAACAGTTTAGACAGGTACTGAAAGAAAATATTTTCTTTAAACTCAACTCTGAAAGACTTCAACTCCCTCCCCTACATCTCCCAAAACCAAACTTGGAGCAAAAAAACCTCAAAAGACACCTGTTCACTCTGGGTTCTACTTGCATCTTAAGCTTTCTTTGCTATTTGGATGAGTCCCTTCCCCTTTGCATGCAGCCTTAGTTTTGGAAAGAATGCTACCCAGTTTGGTTGCCATTTATGACAGGATGCCTATGTCTCTTGAACAGCAGGGAAAACGAACTTTTAGTCCAGCATATGAGAGGCCTTGCTCTTAAGGTGCTCATACGGATGTGACACCACTCCTGTGGAATCAAAAAAAACTTATAAGGAGATTGGAAAATGGAGTTGTCAGAAGCAGAAAGTCAGCACATGAAGGGACCAGAATGTCACTGCTGCTCAGTAAGAGTTAAATGCAAAACCCCCTAGTGATTAGTAGACATGGTAGATGCAATGGCAAGTATTGTGATTTTAACAGTGTCAAGTATTGATGTCTTTTCCATCTCCATCCCAGCTCCCATAACTGCTAGAGCTGATCTAACAGCTCAACACCACCAAACAAAAGGGGTCTTTTTTCCCCTCTATCTCCCATCTTCTCTTTCTTCTTGGTTCCAGCTACATCGTCCCTGTCCTGCCCCTTCTGCTAGTTCACGGAAACAGCAGTAAGCCAATCCACCTTTCTGAGAAGAAAACTGTTCATGTAAACTGTTCCCTTTTTCTTTCAGTGAAGTTAGTTTTCTACCAGTTATGTAAGATGAATTAACTGACTTTAGGGCCCAGCAAGCAGGAGATAATGCAAAGCAGGGAAGGTCAGAGACATGGTAGTAGGGAAATGGCCTCCCCTTGCCCCCAGAAAGTTGTTAAGACTGAATCAAGCTGGAGGATGAAATTTCAACCTTGTAGCCCAAGTCCACTGCAACTTAAGCATGTTTAAATTCTGGCATAAATTCAGTCATGTGTTTAGCTACTTCACAGAGTTGGTTTGGATAAGGATTCAATACTAAATGCGATTAATTTTCAGCCAAATCAAATCTTTGAGCCACCTCACTCAATGCCATTCCAAGGAAAGGAACAGAATGCTAACTACCAGGACATCCTGAACATGGATTAGTTTATGCTGCCTTGAATTTGTACCTGCAGAAGGTAAAGGCATGACAAAATGGAGCAGGCAAGGTAACGCTGCACCTGAAGTCAGCAGAAGAACATACTCTCAAAATCCAAGAGCATAATCAGCCAGCTGACTTTAGTCTGAGTTTATAAACTGCATAAGAAAGGAAGAGGAGCGAAGGTCTACAGGTCTGCAGAGATATGGTATAAGGTGCAATAAAGGACTCAGGAAGGGAAGGCAAAGGAGGAGAAAGATGATTTCAAAACTAACTTGAGTGGGTATCTATACTGTGCTCTGAGACATCTGCCAGCACCAGCAGTATATTTCCTGTCTCTTATACA